CAGTGTTCTGGACCCAGTTTACCAATCCAACCTTTTTGCCTTCAGCCTAAGTGTGCTTGTGGAAAAACACCCCTTGCACCTTCCCCAAAATTTCATAATCCACTGAAACCAAGGTGTCCCCTTCTGCCATGCCCAAACCTGTCAGAGACCAGGAAAGCAGAATAAAGGCCCCCTATACTGAGGAAGAAAAGGCCACACCTGTACTTCTTCATCCATCACCACTGCCACTTCTCCTAACCTTGAGGTCCCCAACTTGGAAGAGTGCCTGTGTGTAAATGGGAGCTGATAGGAAGACACCTGGGAGAGGGAGCTGTGGCCAGCAATTGCCTGTTTTCCTATATTTTTTCTCAATCTCTACATTGTTGGTGTATAGAAAGGCTACTGATTTTTGTAAATCGATTTTATATCCTGCTGCTTTGCTGAAGCTGTTTATGGTGTCTAAGAGTTTTTTGGTGGAGTTTTTTGGGTCTTTTAGATTTAAGATCATGTTGTCTGCGAATAGGGATAGTTTTGACTCCTTACCTATTTGAATTCCTTTTATTTCTTCTTCCTGTCTTATTGCTCTGGCTAGGAATTCCAAAATTATGTTGAATAGGAGTGGAGAGAGTGAGCACCCTTGTCTCATTCCTGACTTCAGGGGAAATGGTTTCAGTTTTTCCCCATTAAGTATGATGTTGGCTATAGGTTTGTCATATATAGTTTTATTATGTTGAGGTACATTGCTTCTATTCCCAGTTTCATGGGAGCTTTTATCATGAATTTTATTGAAAGCTTTTCCTGTATTTATTGAGATGATCAAGTGGTTTTTGTCTTTGCTTCTGTTAATGTGCTGTATTACATTTAATGATTTGTATATGCTGAACGATCCCTGAATCCCTGGGATGAAACCATCTTGGTTATAGTGTATGATCTTTTTGATATGCTGGTGAATTCAGTTTGTCAGCATTTTATTGAGAGTTTGCATCTATGTTCATTAAAAAGATTGGCCTGCAATTTTCTTTTTTTGTTGTTGTTGTGTCCTTGTCTGGTTTTGGGATGAGTGTAATACTGGCTTCACAGAATGAGTTTGACTATGTTCCTTCCCTTTCTATTTCATGGAAAAGTTTAAGGAGTGTTGGTATTAGTTCTTTAAAGGTCTGGTAGAATTCAGTGGAGAATCCATCAGGTCCTGGACTTTACTTTTTTGGGAGACTCATTATTGTTGCTTCAATTTCATTGTGTTACAGATTTGTTTAGGTGATTAATACCCTCTTGGTTCAATATTGGATAGTCATAGTCATATGTGTCTAGAAATTTGTCCATTTCTTCTAGAATGGATTTATTTGAATTTAGGTTTTCAAAGTAGTTCCCTGCTGATTCCCTGGATTTCCTTGGTGTTATATCCTCCTTTTCATTTCTGATTTTATTAATTTGGGTCTTTTCCCTTCTCATTTTAATCAGATTTGCCAGGAGTTTGTTAATCTTTATTTTTTCGAAGAACCAGCTTTTTGTTTTGCTGATTCTTTGTGTAGTTTTTTTGGTCTTTCTTTTGTTGATTTTGGCTCTTATTTTTATTATTTCTCTCCTTCTGCTTGTTTTAGGTTTAGCTTGTTCTTGTTTTTCTAGGAATTTGAGATGCAGCATTAGCTCATTTATGTGAGATCTTTCTGTGTTTTTAATATATGCACTCATGGCTATAAACTTTCCTCTTAGGACTGCCTTTGCTGTGTCCCATAGGTTCTGGTAGACTGTGTTTTCATTTTCATTAAATTCCAAGAACTTTTTATTTCCTCCCTTATTTCTTCTATGACACATTGATCATTCAGCAATGTGTTGTTCAGCCTCCAGTTGTTTTGAGTATTTTCTGTTCCTTCCTTTGTTGTTGAGTTCTAGTTTTATTGTGTTGTGGTCAGACAGTAAGGAGTTAATTCAGTTTTCTTGTATTTGTTGAGACTTGCTTTGTGCCCTAAAATATGGTCTATTTTGGAGAAAGTTGCATGGGCTGCTGAGAAGAATGTATATTGTGCTGTTGCAGAATAGAATACTCTGTAGATGTCTGTCAGGTCTGTTAGATCTATAGTATATTCAACTCTAGAATTTGTTTGCTGATTTTTTTGTCTAGATGACCTATCTATTGATGATGGAGGAATCTTAAAGTCTCCCACTACTGCCGTGTTGGGTCTGTTTGTGACTTTAAGTCCATTAGTGTATGTTTAATGAAGTTGGGTGTACTACCATTGGTAGCATATAAGTTGATCATTGTTACTTCCTCTTGATGTATTGCTCCTTTTATTAATATAAAGTGACCTTCTTTGTCTCTTCTGACTAATTTAGGTTTGAAGTCCACTTTTTCTGATGTAAGTATTGCTACTCCTGTCTGTTTTCGGGGGCCATTAGCTTGGAAAATTATCTTCCATCCTTTTATGCTAAGACAGAGAAAGTGTTTGTTTCTGTCAATAAGGTGAGTTTCTTGTAAACAACAGATTGTTGGGTCTTCCTTTTTAATCCAGTTCGCCAAACAGTCTTTTGATGGGAGTTGAGTCCGTTAACATTCAGTGTTAATATTGAGCAGTATGTGGTGATTCCTGCCATTTAGTTGTTTTTGTTGTTTAAGGATTTGTGTGTGTGCAGCCAGTTCTATGCTACTTTCTGAGTATGTGTCTGTTCTTCTCTTGAGATTTAATATTTTCCATTCTTTCATGGTTATATTTGTTTTCATCTTTCGTGTAGGATTCCTTTCAGAATCTTCTGGAGTGGTGGTTTGGAGGTCATATATTGTTTTAGTTTGTGTTTATCATGGAAGACTTTTATTCCTCCATCAATTTTAAATGATAGTTTTGCTGGGTAGAGTATCATAGGACTGAAATTGTTTTCTTTCAGTGCTTGAAATACCTCACTCCATGCCCTTCTTGCTTTTAAGGTTTGTGTTGAGAAATCTGTCATTTTGATGAGTTGACCGTTATATGTTATTTGATTTTTGTCTCTTACATCCTTCAAATTCTTTCCTTATTCTCTGTGCTAGTTGTTTTCATGATAATATGCCGTGGAGAGGTTCTGTTTTGGTCATATCTGTTTGGTGTCCTAGAGGTTTCCTGTGCCTGAATGGGCATCATCTGTTTCTTGAGATTTGGGAATTTTTCTCCTATTATTTTGTTGAATATATTACGTATACCTTTGACTTGCACCTCTTCTCCTTCTTCAATGTCCATGATTCTCAGGTATGTCTTTTAATGGGATTGCTGAGTTCTTGTCTATTCCTTTTGCAGCTCTTGAGTCTTTTATCTAAGAATTCTTCTGTTTCTTTTTTTTATATTCATTTTGTCTTTGATCCCTGAAATTCTGTCTTCCACTTGTTTTAGTCTGCTGAAGTGGCTTTCATCTGTATTTTTTATTTGATTTAAGAAACTTTTTATAAAAATATGAAATGCTTCACGAATTTGCATGTCATCCTTGCATAGGGGCCATTAATACATATTATGGAGTACAGAAACATCAGAAGATAGAGAACAAGCATATTCTCATTATCACATAACTCAGTGATGTAACTGCTGTTAATTTTGATGTATTTTCTTTCTAATGGTATTTTTTTTTTTTTCCTAAATGTAACTGACTTGGGTGCTATTTCCCTGCTTAGCCTGGTGCATTGCCTGTCCTTGGAGGCCCCACATACACCACCTACTTGGTGTGATGTCATCTTTGCTGCAATCACCCAGCAAATTTGTTTTAATAACTGGCATTGTATTATAGCTGCTGCTGCTGCTTCTTTTATAGTTTCTTTAAAAACTGCTTTATACCTGAATGTATTGAGAATCTTTTACTGAAAATGGTAGAAAAGACACAAAATCACCAATAATCCTACCACATAGCCATAACTTCTTTAACTTTTTTTGTTTGCTTTTTTTTTTGTGGTGCTGGGGATGGACTCTAGAGACTCACAAAGCACTCTACCAATGAGCTTCATACCTGGCCCCTTGACATTTGTTTTTTAAACTTTTGGACCTTGTTTTTTTTTTTTGTGTGTGTGTGTACTTGTATGTGTGTGGTGTTGTGCATATTTGTCTGTGAATACATACTTTTTTTTTTCCTGTGCTTGGGATTAAACCCACAGCCCTGCATATGCTAGACAAGTGTACTACCATTGAGCTATATCCTCAACCCCTACATACAACATTTTAAAAGTGTGATCAACACTATTAGGTAACACAATATTTTGCATAATAGTATAACATGAATATTTTCCAAGTCAAGATGTATTTGTGTCACCATCTATAATGGCATTGGCATTACTATTTAATGCACCATAGTGAATTGGCCTATCTTATTTATTTATTTTGCAGTACTAGGGTTTGGATTGAGGACCTACACCTTGAGCAACTCCACCAGCTCTTTTTTTTTGTGATGGGTTTTTTTGAGATAGGATCTTACCTGGACTGACTTTGAACCGTGATCCTCCTGATCTCTGCCTCCTAAGCAGTGAGGGTTACAGGCATGAGCCATGAGCACCCCACTGACCTATCCTTTCTTGATGTATATTTAAGTGGTTTGGAATTTTTCATCATAATAAAATGGTACAGTAATGAACAAACACCTGAACCCGAGTCATTTACAATGAAGGCCTCTGTGCCATTGTGCTATAGGCTCTTTGATATGCCTGCTGGTCCTCTGACTTGGGTGCCATTTCCCTTCTTAGCCTGGTCCATTGCCCATCCTTGGAGGCACCACATATACCATCCACTTGGTGTGACGTCATCTTTGCTGCAAACAACCAGTTGCTCTTTTCCCTGGGCTCCTAGCCTTTTATCCATGCCTTGTTACACTCATTATAGAGGAATTGTCCGTGTAGTTTTTGTTCCCCATTAAGCTGTGAGCCTGTCTAATTCCCCTCTCAAAGCCAGGCCCAGCAGTGGTAGGTGCACCATAACCCTTGGAGTCTATGACTAACAGGTGGTTGCACAGCTCTCTCCTGCCTCAGCTCTTCATGACTCCAGAAACCTAAGGTTCTGTTCTTTGGTCCTGGGCAGCTAAAGACGTAATTAAAGAAATTGAAGACTTTGATGGCTTGGAAGCTCTGCGCTTAGAGGGCAACACGGTGGGCGTGGAAGCAGCCAGGGTCATCGCCAAGGCCTTAGAGAAGAAATCCGAGTTGAAGGTGAGATCTGCAGGGTGAGCAGGCCTGGGCTGATTGGGAACAAGTTTCCTCTCATACTGCCACAACTCCAACCTGGGTCCAGACCCTTCTAAGTGCTGCCATGGTGACTGTCACCTACATGGCTCCTATTCCTTAGACACCCAGAGCATACAGCACTGTCCAAGGTCCCTCTCCCTGTAGCGAGCAGATCTTCAGGTGGTATTAGGTATGCAGTTTTATTGGAGTGACAGCTGTGAAGGACAAACTGGGGAGAGCCTTCTGGTTATGATGCAGATCTGGCACCCTCAAGGAGGGAAGGATGTAGAATTAGTCAGCATAAGCCTCTGACTGTGAGGCTGTTCTGAAACCTTGGAGCTTTGCCTGGGAACTCCCAAGCAAATATTGCCTGTTTAAGGAGTCTTGTGTTAGGTAGAAATGGGAAAGCCTCTGCTCTGGTGTTGAAGCAGACTGGGAAGGTACTTGCAGCTGGAGGCCATGGCTAACCACTTCACAGCCAAACCATGTTCCTTCCTTCCTTGCTTTCTCCCTTCCTCCCTCCCTCTCTTCCTTTCCTTTTTTCCTTCCTTCCCTTTTTTTCCTTCCTTCCCTTTTCTTCCTTCTTCCTTCTCTCTTTCTTTTCATAGTATTGGGGTTTGAACTCAGGACTTAATGCTTCCTAGGCAGGTGCTCTACAACTTGAGCCATACCCCAGCCCTATTTTTCAAATGTGGTCATGTGCTTTTTGCCTGAGGCTGGCCTTGAACTGTGATCCTCCTACTCCTCCTAAGTAGCTGGGATTATAGGCATGAACTACCATATTTACCCCCTAGTAGTTAATTTGACACCTTTGCCTACCTAAAAGCTTCAAGTCTGAGACCTGCTTTCCCTTTGTGAAAAAGACAAGAAATGGGGAGGTACATATGACCCACCAGTTCTAAACAGAGGCTGTCTTCTGGAGGTGCTCAGAAGGGTTGAAAGACACTTGAACAAAAAGGTACTTTTTCAATGCTGGAGTGCTTACTATATTGTTTAACTTCATGTTCCTCTCACCTGGAATCATGTCATGTGTCCTGTCAGAGGGCTAGACAGATCACCAGATATTCCTGACACTTCTGAGTCCCCTACAGCCCTTGAGTGCCTCTGGAATATAGGACTCTAGATTACACTAGCTGCCACCAGAACTTAGACCGGTTCTAAGGGTTTTTGCTGATGAAGTCCAAATTAAGAAGTCTTACAGTGTTCGTGTCACCCAAAGCCATGGGGCTAATAGCACTGCCTGCAGGCCACTTCCTGGGATTTCCCATTAACCTTCCTTCCTTCCTTCCCTACAGCGATGCCACTGGAGCGACATGTTCACGGGGAGGCTGCGGTCCGAGATCCCGCCAGCCCTGGTAAGAAAAGAGATCACAGGGACACTTCTCCACACCTCTTCATCCTGATGTCTAAAGGAGATGCTGAAGGGGAAGCCAGGCAAAGCCCAGTACCTGTTCTGTGTCCTGACAGGAGGCCAGGCGCAGAGGACAGGCAATTAGAGGAAGGAGCCACAGAGCAAGGACTTAGGTGGTAGGAAGTTGAACTGAGACTAGTGATTCCCAGGGTTCCTGCCTTCACATTAGATTTCATGCCCCCCATGACCACCCTTTTTCTCCTGGCACCACCTCCAGTCTGTGTATAGCCTGTTGTGGCCTCTCCATCTCTGATTCCTCCCCTTTTCCATATCACTCCTGCTCTATGGTTCTTGTTATGGGTGGCTTCCCTTTGCTTCCTTTTTCCTGGAACTCAAATTGGCTAGGGGCACATTTCCAGCCTCTGAGTGTGCCTGTGTGCATGTGTACATGGAAGGGGCAACACACACAATAGTACAAGGCCTGTCCAGGCCTCAGGGAGGGCTGCCGGTGGGAAACCCTGGGTTTATCCTCCTAGCACTGGCCAACTTGCAGCAGGCCCTGAAGGTGCAGGTGTTGGGGCTGTGGTGAACATACGTATGGCCCTGGTTTTATTGGGGCTTCCTCAGGCCTTCAATCCTCCAGTCAACACTAGGGTTTTGTGTGCACTGTCCTACCTTCTATAGAGAGTCTCAGTCCAGCAGACACTGGGTCATCCAGGGTGACAGGCTCTAATGGTCCTAGAAAAAGGTCCCTGTGTGAGGCATGGAGGAGATGGCCCCTTTGAGAGTTGGAGGAATTAGTGCCCAGCTCAAAGGCTGAACAAGGCCAGGTGAAGCTAGTATTCAGAATGTAGGTTCAATAAATTCATTTGGGCAGTTTTTCAGGGTAGAAAAGAGGATAAGGAAAGCTTTCTTTTGGCCTAGTTGGCTCTGGGACTCTCGCTGTGCTGCTTGTTTAAATTATGGTGTTTGATTTGCTCAGCATTGAAGAGGTGTTCTATCTGCCACATTCCCAGTGAGACTGAATCTTTAGGAGGGCAGAGAAGGGAACATGGGGTCAGGGAATGCACAGATGTAGGAAGGAGGAGTGGACAGTGAAAGCTGTGGCCATCTGAGGTTTGGAGATCAGCTGGGCCCATCATAGGCCTTCAGAGGGCAAGGGCAGAAAACATCTTGCCCTGGTTCATTGAGTTGTAAAAGGACAGTAGAAATAGCCTCAGCTCCCATGTCTATGCCCTGGGTGAGGACAGAATATTCTCACATTCTTCTTATCATGAGCCACCTCCCCGGCCTATGTCTGACCCCCTTCTTATTTCTGGCAAAGCCTTCTCTCCTTCAACCATTTTTCCTGGGGGGTCTGCAGGTATCCCCAGCCTCAAAGAATCTTGATGAGCTCAGTATCCTCCTGCCAAACTTTGGAGGCATTTGTGGCGCCTTCCCCCCTCCACATCTAGTGGACCCCCTAGCTTTAACAAGTTCCCCTTCCTGTCTGAACAGGCTGTACTTCCTCCCTCCACTTCCTGCCACACTGGCTTGTCCCATCTGTTGCCTGAGTAACACTCTCACACAGGCTCTCGGCCTCTAGTCTCCCCTTGCTCAGCTCCTCTGGTTTCCAGGGACTTTTCTTCCTTGCCTATCAGCCACTTCAAAGCCTTTTCTGTCAGACACAAAGACATAGTTTGTCCAGTCTTCAAGGTTCTTGACTTGTTTGACCTCTTACGTCCCACTAGACCTGTAATAATTTGCTTCATGCTTGGGTCTCTCTGCTCCAGTTTTTACTGCTGTCTGGAATCTTTTCATGCTGATTCAGTCACACTGAGTTCAAACACCACCTCCTACAGGGAGACTTCACAGACCACCACACATACAGGCCCCATTTGCCAGTGGTCATGAGGAGCCTTCTGTGGGGTTTCCAGTGTGGGATCATAACAAGGAAAACTGCCCGGAGCTGGTGGCTCACCTCTGTAATCCTAGCTACTCAGAAGGCAGAGATTAGAAGGGTCATGGTTCAAACCCATCTTGGGCAAATAGTTCGTGAGACCCTATCTCGGAAAATAACCTTCACAAAAAAAAAAAAATAAGGTCTGGTGGAGTAGCTCAAGGTGTAGGACCTGAGTTTAAACCCCAGCACCACCACCAAAAAAAAAAACAACCTGTGCCATAAAAGCCTGTGTCTGTTACTTCCCCCAGTTGCCTAGGCACCGCCTGTGTGCGGGTCTGGGCCTGACACAGAAATGGAATCTAGCAGATGTCTGTAAGATTGACCTGAGCTCCCTTTGTGCCCAGATCTCACTAGGGGAGGGACTCATCACTGCCGGAGCCCAGCTGGTGGAGCTGGACCTAAGTGACAACGCATTCGGGCCTGACGGTGTGCGTGGCTTTGAGGCATTGCTCAAGAGCCCAGCCTGCTTTACCCTGCACGAACTCAAGCTTAACAACTGTGGCATGGGCATCGGTGGTGGCAAGGTGGGTCAGGGTCCCCCTGTAGTTCCTCCTGCATCCACATTCATTAAGGTTTGTGCCTCAGCCCTTGGTCCCCCATCTTCTCAAAGGAGAAAGACCTCAAAGACAGCAGCATGCAGGAAAGGAGTTTGGGAGGGTGGGGTTGCCAAGCAACCATTCCAAGTTCTTGTGTTGACTTGGCAACTTAGAGGCAGTACTGCTGCATAACCTGCTCCAACCTGCTGGCTCTGCAAAATGCAGGGTTGGGGCATCTCAGTACCTACTATCTCTCACAACTGCCTGGCAGAGCCAGGCTGAGGAAGGAGCTCGGAAAGAGAAAAGAGCTGCTCTGGGAGGATGGCCAAAATGCGTACACACGCCCTCCACACGCACACACACACACATTCTTATCAAAGGGGAAAAGGGCTAGGGACGTTTTTGTGAAGATGCTTATATGTACTACATTGAAAGGTTGGTGATATTGTCCCCATTTTCCCACAGGAGGAAACTCGGGCTTGGAGAGTAGAGTGTGTGAATCGTGGTAGTATGGCAGCGGTGTGGAATTTGAACCTTTGTCCACAGGCTGCAAGGTTTGGGTTCTGGTCCAGAGTCTGCCACTTGCTTAGTGACAATAAGACAATTTCTGGGCTGGGTGTGGTGGCCAGTGCTAGTTGTCCCAGCTACTCTGGAAACTGAGGCAGGAGGATCACTTGGGCCTAGGAGCTCAGGGCCAGCCTGGGAAACCAAGACCCTGTCCCCCACAAAATAAAAAAAGTTTCTACCAAGCATGGTAATACATGCCTATCTCAAAAACAAGTTTCTTTTTTCCAAGCCTGAGTTTCTTTCTTTTTTTTTTTATTCATATGTGCATACAATGTTTGGGTCCAAGCCTGAGTTTCTTTACCTGGACAATGGAAATCATGGTAGTCCTACCTTGCAGAGGCTTATGACAGGGAATTGAGCTACCTGGGAGTCTTCCCTATACTTGTATCTAACTTCATCCACTCTGTGGGTCTTTCTCCCTTTGTCTAGCATTTCTCAGTCTCCCTGAGGCTAAAGTCCACCAGTAGGGGTGACGCACAAACAGAGCTCTTTGTAAAGTGCTGGGTGCATGTGAGGTATAACCATTGTGCTTTAGCAGCTCTGTGTCTGCTTATCCACCAGGCTGCCCCAAATGCAGCTGGGAGAAGGGCTTCTGACCACAGCCTGCATGTTCTCCTTGCCTTTCCCACAGATTCTAGCAGCAGCTCTGACTGAGTGTCACCGAAAGTCCAGTGCCCAAGGCAAGCCGCTGGCCCTGAAGGTCTTTGTGGCTGGCAGGAATCGTCTGGAGAACGATGGCGCCACAGCATTGGCAGAAGCTTTTGGGGTGAGTTGTTTCTTTCTCTCCTGTCTTGCCAGGCATGGAGGCAGACTAGGCATCGCAGGCTGACAGTCCTGGGTAGGAATCCCAGGGTCAACCTTTCGCTGAGAGACCTGGAGAAACTACTTCGCCGTCTAAGCTGGTAGCTCATCCCACAGTGGCCAAAGCGCCTGTCGTGCATGTGCGGGAAGGTGCAGGGTCAGCAGCAGTTCCCTGGAGTGATGATGAACAAGACCAAGAGGCCTTCAGGCAGCACAGGCTGCTCTCATCTTGGAGTGGTAGTGCCAGGACAGTGAGAACTGACCACAGCTGTGCTGCCTCCATGGGCAGAGCAGAGATTGAACACATAGGACTTGCCTGAAGCAGGGACAGGAAGAAGCAGCTAAGGGACCCAGGTGCTGCTCATGGTGCTCTTCTGAAGGAAGATCTCATCCCCCACTTCCCGTCTGCTCCCTTTGTTGCTCCATTCTCAGGATGGTGCTGGGCCTGGTGTCCAGTCTATGTAGATACTGAACTGCCGCTTCTCCCAATAGGAGAAGGGGCTTAGGGCTCTGGCCCCTCGCACGTAATTCAATTGTTTTCTAGAGCAGACAGTATTCTAGCAGCATTAACCGAACTCATGCCAGAACAGCAGCCCACAGGCTTACCACATAGAGTGAATAGCCTACTTACTGAGCTGCATGAAAAGACTCTTCACCCACCTGGGTGGGAATGGCCATTGCAGAAATCCCGAATCTGTCTGTAGTCCTGGCTGCAGTTGGGTGCCTGCCTCCTCTGAAGTTGGAGTGCAACTCATTGCTGTCCTCAGATACTGCTTTCTTCTGGCCTGTGTGCTTAGAATGAGGTTATTGACCTGGGTCTCAGAATCCCAGTCTGGATAGAATACAGGGAGTTTTTGAACATACATAAAGAAAAATTTGCATGGTTTAAGTTGTAAGGGGATCCTTGAGCAATGGTGGCATGCAGTGATGCTTATACTCCACAGTTGAAAATCTGTATGTATCTTTTCTCTCCCCCTTTTGCAGTGGCTGGGAATCAAACCCAGGCTTCACACATGCTAGGCAAGTGCTCTGTCTGGCATGTGTGAAGTCTGTACTCATGCCTAAAGACATGAACCTCTCCTTGAAAGCTCAAACCTGATAGGGTGCAGGCAAGATTGCAGGCTTTGGTACTCCAGGAAAAGGAGAGCACCATGATACAGGAAGGACTGGTGCTCTAGAGCTCAGACTTTTTGACTGGGAGAATTCAGGAAGTTTTTCCAGGGGAGGTAGTATCCAAAATGAAAGCTGTAGAATGCATAGGAGTTAGCCTGTCAAGAAAGTGCCACCAACAGCTGGGCACCAGTGGCTCATGCCTGTAATCCTAGCTACTCAGGAGACAGAGATCAGAAGCATCATGGTTAGAAGCCAACCTGGGCAAAATAGTTCACGAGACCCTATCTCAAAAAAACCCATCACAAAAAAGGCTAGCGAAATGGCTCAAGGTGTAGGCCCTGAGTTCAAACCCCCAAAAAGAAAAGAAAATGCCACCTCAGTCCCACTAAAAACAAGAGAAAAGAAAATGCTAGCTGGGCATGGTGGTACACATCTGAAATCCCAGCTACTCTGAAGGTGAAGACAGGAGGATCAGGAGTCAAGGCAAAGTTAGTGGTGAGTGACCCTATCTCAAAAATAAAATGGTTGTGAGGTGTGGTTCAAGTGGTAGAGTGCTTGCCTAGCAAATATGGGGTCCTGGGTTTGATTGTCTGCAACAAACTCCAGTACAAAAAGAAAGTGACAACAGGGCTGTGAATGCACCTCAGTGGTAGAGCTCTTACCTAGCACGGCCAAGGCTCTGGGTTCAGTTCTCTGCACCAAAAAAAGGAAAATGCCAACAAATAAGGAAACAGTGAATGGTGTTCCAGGCTAGGAAGAAAATGGATCAAGTGATCTGACCTTTCTCACCTCCCAGAAAAGCTGTGGTATGTGGAATGCCAGTGATAAAGTACAGCTAGGGTAGGAAAGCCAAATAGAGCTGCATTGTTTGAAAAGAGGCCATGAATACCTGCCAGAGCCCAGGGTCTCCACAGTGCAGAGGTTGCTGGACCAAGAAATCTACATTCTGGTTCCAGGCCCTCTACAGAACTGACTCTAGGCAGTCACTTAGCCTTTTTTTAGGGGGAAAGAGGGGGCCTTCTTGCTTGCCAGGTAGGCACTCTACCACTTGAGCCACTCCAACAGCCCTGTTTTATATCAGGTTTTTTGAGATAGAGTCTATTTGCCTAAACTGGTTCTGAACTGTGATCCTCCTTTCTCTGCCTCCTGAGTAGCTAGGATCACAGGTGTGAGCTATCAACACCCGGATCCACTTAGTCTTTCTGATTCCTCTCTTCTCCCCATGTTAGATACAGCCATGCTCTGAGATCTGTGCCCTAGAAACCTAGAGCCTAGTCCCCGCCTGCTGCTGGTGACAACCTCTCCCCACGTCTGTTGTGTGCTGCTCTCTGCATGCTGGATGTCACTGCCACCAAGACCCACCTCTTCGCTCTCTTCTTCTACTCTTGCAGATCATTGGGACTCTGGAGGAGGTCTACATGCCACAGAATGGGATCAACCACCCTGGTGTCACAGCACTGGCCCAGGCATTTGCCATCAACCCCTTGCTGCGGGTTATCAACCTGAATGACAACACTTTTACTGAGAAGGGTGCAGTGGCCATGGCTGAGGTGAGGCGGGCATGGCGGGGCCAGATCAGGCTTGGGAAATGGTCGGGCTGCTGTCTTTGTTTCATTGCTTCATGCAGGGGCTGCTGTGCCCTGTCTCTGCACCCCTGTGGTGTGTACCCCATGCCCTAGTTCATGTGCTTATGCTCTTGGCAGCTATGAGCATCCCTGCTGCCTGTATCCTGAGCATCCTTGGTACTCCCAGTGCTGGTGCTGGCTCTGCTCTCAGGCAGAAAAGAAAAGGCTGCTCTGGACCAACCTGTTTCCTCATTTATTTCACTCAGTGGCTATATATCAAGCCCCTCTTCAGTGCCTGTATAGTACCAAGTGCTGGTCAGTCGCACAGGAGGCTGCTGATCACCATGTAGGGCTCTGAGCTCAATGGCTATTTGAGTACTGTGCTATCTGGGTGAGGCAGGCCCCACCACAGGCTAGCTGTGGGTGTCACAGAGACAAGTGCAGGACGGAGCTCAGGTAAGACTTACATTTTGGCTGAGTTATACAAGACAGGTGGACTTTATCTGGACAAAGTTGGATGTTTCCAAAGGTGGAAAGATCAATAATGTGGAAAGCCCAGAAACTCAGGAGAAAAGCCTTGCTTGATTGGTCCTGGTTTGAAATAACCAGGGCTTAAGGGGTGTTGGTTGGTGGGATGAAAGAGGAAGAAAGGGAGGCAAGACTTGTAGCCTTGTTAACTCCATGAGATTTTCTCCTGTAAGTAATCGGGAGCCATGGAGGGTTTTAGGCAGGTGTGATATGATTAGATTTGTGCTTCAGGAAGAGTTCTGGTTGTAATATGGGGAACAGGGTGGTGGACGTTTAGCTAGGGGCCCTGGAGGCCAATAAGGAGGTGACAAGAAGAGCCAATTAGATGTGGAGGAGGCCAGACCAGAACACAGAAGAAGATTATGTGGTGATTTATGACTAATGTGGAGCATGACATCACCAAGACTGGGTGTAGTTCTGCACCTTTACCTTGAACCCTTGCTTCCTTTCAGACCCTGAAGATCTTGCGGCAGGTGGAGGTGATCAATTTTGGTGACTGCCTGGTGCGCTCCAAAGGGGCCATTGCCATTGCAGATGCCGTCCGTGGTGGTCTGCCTAAGCTGAAGGTGCCAGCCGGCCACTTACTTTCTTTCCTCTGGGGTCTAGGCTCCTCCACATTTGGGGTTTCCTGCCTAAGGTTGTATGACATGGGGACCAGATGTCTGGTCTAGAGACAGGTGAGCCTGCATATATCCCAGCTCTTCCACTTTTGTGAGGGGCTGAATCACCCCTCTGATTCAGTTTCTCCAATTAAAAAATGGAAGACTGTGCACTAGTAGCTCAGCCCTATAATCCTAGCTACTTGGGAGGCTGAGATTGGGAAGATCATAGTTTGAGGCCAGCCCAAGCAAGTAGTTAGGGAGAACCAATCTCCAAAATAACCAGAGCAAAATAGACTGGAGTTGTGGCTTGTGGTAGAGTTGCCTGCTTTTAAAGTGCAAAACCCATCCAAAAAAGGGAGAACAGTGTCTACCTTCTTAGTGTAGTGTAAGGGAATATTCATAGTGCTTGGCACGTTGTTGGATATGTGGCATTTTTTTAATTGCTGGTGTTACACACCTGTGACCAATCTGGAGACTTGAGCCTGCCTTGTCCTAGGGGGAAACCAAAGGTCTCCTGGCCCAGGTTTTGCCTGCCTCCACCTCTTCTTTTTACTTTTAGGAACTGAACCTGTCGTTCTGTGAAATCAAGAGAGATGCTGCCTTAGCTGTTGCTGAGGCTGTGGCAGACAAGACTGAGCTGGAGAAGCTGGACCTCAATGGTAAGCAGGGCAGTTGGCCTCAGCACAGCCCTGCCCAACTGGCCCTGGAAGCCAGTCTGACCTACCTTTCCTTCCTACCTGAACAGGTAACACTCTGGGAGAAGAGGGCTGTGAGCAGCTTCAGGAGGTGCTAGATGGCTTCAACATGGCCAAGGTGCTGGCATCACTCAGGTAGGGAGCCAGGGGTCAGGTTGTTCCTTCCTTTCTTTCTGCTCATGTTTACCCAAAATTTGTTAGTTGAGCTCCTGCTGTGTGCCTGTGCTAGGCACTAGGGAGAAAAGGATGAGATGGCAAGAGTTCTGACTCGTAGACATGAGGCAGAATGAGCTGTTGAGTGTTCAGTAAACGAACATGAAGGGCTGAGTGTGACCACTCCAGAGTGGGTGAGTCAGGGAAGCTGATGCCAGAGCTGATCTCGATGTGGCAGAAGCCATAGTAAGTCTGGAGGACAGTGAGACCTTTGGTGTGATGGGGATGGGAGGTGGGGCACCTAGAAGGGGACAGACTTGGGATTGTTCTTCAGAGACTGACTAGAAAGGAAGATGTTGATGCAAGAGCGAAAATTCCAGGGTGCACCAAGCCCACAGAGGGGCGAGTGGGCAGCTGGGGAGCTGCCGTCTGCCGGATCGCAGCACCTGCCCCTGCCTGCCTCTCATCTCCAGGTGGGCCTCATTCCCATGTCAGACAGTTAGTGTCCTCAGAGCTGGGCTTGGGCTGCTCTTGGGAACTGGGGAACGAACAGAGGCTCACAGGCCACTGGAATGGCTCTCCTGTTGTGCAGGGACACCTTCCTCCCACATACACACACCCGTAGCTTCCTGTGTCGACAAGATGTGGGTGGCACTGTCCTGGGCATCGCAGCCTGGCAGATCCTGCCAAGTTCTTTTCCTCTGCTTCTGCATGGGTCTGAGGCTCCTTTGGGACAGGGACAAGGTTTGATTCTTGGGTTTGTTTTGTTTGTGGTATTGGGATTTGGGCTCAGGCCCTCATGCTTGCTAGGCAGGCACTCTACAACTTGAGTCACTCTGCCAGCCCTGTCTGATTCTTCTGTGTCCACAGCATGGGCTTCCAAGCTGATGAAAAATGAATGACATGCTCTCTGGTGATCCATATGCACCACACTGGAGCAGTGCTTCCCCAATCCTCCCCCGGCCTCTTTCACCTGGCTGGGGTTCCTGGGCTCACAAGCCAGGCCTCTGAGACAGCATGAGCTGCTGGGCAGGAAGGGTCTGCTTTAGCCAGCTTCCCTCCACAGTGATGATGAGGGCGAGGATGATGAGGATGAGGATGAGGAAGCTGAGGAAGAGGAAGAGGAGGAAGAAGAGGAGGAGGAAGAGGAGGAAGAAGAGGAGGAAGAAGAAGAACCACAGCAGGGAGGACAAGGAGAGGAGCCAGCCACACCCTCAAGAAAGATTCTGGACCCTAACAGTGGAGTGAGTTCATTTTCATTTGCTGGGATCAGAACCCCAATCCACTGAATCTTGACCCATCCTTATGGCATCTATGGGATGAGGAAGGTCTACTTAAAGCAGAGTAGCCACAAACATCTTTGGATTGCATGCTCTTGAATAAAATCATCCTAATGTGATATTCATCTATGTTTATATTTATCACATGTGGATATGTTTATTCTTTTAAATAATAAACTTATTGTAACATATAATGCTACTTTACATATATACATGTTATTTTATATTATACATGCATAAATATTTTTTAAATAACATAGTAAAAAATTAAGCATAGCTAGCAGAGTGGCTCAAGTGGAAGAGTGCCTGCGTAGCAACCACGAGGCCCTGAGTTCAAGCCCCAGTACTGCACAAAAAAAAAAAGAAAGAAAAAAAAAATCTTAAAAAAATTAAGCATAAATAAAAACTTTGTTTATCCACCTACCTATTAGTGGATAATCTTGGTAACTCTTAGGGGTGGTCCTCTGTTCTTGACATCATAGCTGTAACTGTGACATAGACGTAGTGTCTATTACCTGGCTGTGATGGCATTGGGGCCACATCCCAATTTGTTCATTTGTGTTCCCTCATAGGGTCCCAAATAAAGCTCTCAGAAAAATTTGGTTAGGACCCAGGTTGCCCACACTCCTGTTGAGCTGGGCTTTTCTGAGTTCTGGAAGCAGTTAAATAGCAAGGTGCTTCTCAGGTGTGGGTGTTCTCAGGATACCTCTGGCACTTGCTGGTAGCACTGACCAGCAAGGAACTCTAGTTCCTGGCAGGCTCACTTTAGCTCCCATGTGCCTCTCTCTTGTCATTTTTTGGGGCATTGCATGACATGGCAAAGATCCACTTGGAGTCCCAGAGAGGTAGTTTGTCTTGTACCTCAAAGGCCCCAGGACCAGGAGTCAGCCAGCACCATCAGCAGCAGAACCCCACCTTCAGAGGACTACCACAAAGTGGGAGCATTAATTCTAGACCTAGACCCTTGACTGCTAGAGTGAAGGGAGGATATTCTTGGAGCATAGCTGGGTCAAGGAGTCTGGGGTTCAAAATCTTCAGAGCTCCTTTGTTGCCTGTTTCTCAGGAACCAGGTCCTGTGCTGTCCTCCTCGCCTCCCGCAGATGTCTCTGCCTTCCTGGCATTCCCCTCCCCAGAGAAGCTGCTGCGCCTTGGCCCCAAGAGCTCCATGCTGATAGCCCAGCAGGTAAGGGCATCTCCCGGCTCCAGATCTGGGTGGGGTGCATTTGGAATGGAGCCTGACCTGCCACTCATTCATTCATTCATTCATTCATCTACCTACCTAAAAATACAAACATAAATAAGAATTTCAACTATATCTGGTAACCGGTGTCATAACTTCATCAACCTCCCTCCCCCTTTCCCCCCACAGGAACTTGCTTGGCTTGCAATTAAGGGTCCCTGTCACACCCCAGTGAAGACTAGAGTTAGGGAATTTCCTAAGACTCTCACACATGGGGGCTAGTGGTGTGATTCAAGTGGTAGAGTGTCTGCTTTGCAAGCACAAAGCCCTGAGTTTAAAACCCGGTCACACCAAAAAAAACCAAAAACAAAAACACATGCACACCTGCACCTGCTGTTTCTAAAACAGCCTTCCTTCCATGGCCTTTTTCAAGGTCAGGGGGTTATTTATTTCTAAGAAGCCTCACTGGTTGGTGGTTGGTTGGTTGGTTTATTCTGTGATGATTATCAAGAGCCTGTTTTCTTCCATACACTGAACTTGAGCATGTATTTAACCTAAAATGTAGACCCTGTTACTATTACTTTATAGATGGGAAAATTGCAGTTCAGAGGGCCCACTCTGAGAGTTGATGTTTTAGCTGCTTTCCTTTTTATATTTTTTCCATAGTCTTTATTTTTTGTTTTTACTTTTTTTTTCTATTTTTTCTTTTCTCTTTTGTTGTCTTTTTTTTTCAGATGATAAGTGATGTTACATATTAAAAACCTTGTGTTCTGACATTTTCATTTCACATTATTGTGCATTTTATCAGTAGAATTCTTTTTTTTTTTTTTCTCAACGAGTGGCTCTAACACTCAAAAGCAAGCCACTATTTCTGGACACTGACATTTTTCCATTTTTCTCCATTGTCAGTGAAGTTGACGTAAGCTTCCTTGCATGTGAATGTTTTCTACTTCTGGATGATTTCTTCAGGTTAGATTGCAAGGAGACCATCGACTGGGCCCTGGGCATGACAGTATTTAATGCTTACTCATCCACTCAAAGGGATGGCCTAGGGCGAAATAGAACCTGTCCTTGTCTATCAGGGTCCTACGTATTGCCAGGGCCCTTTGTAGCCAGTCTCCAGTCTGTGTTAGAGCCTTGGGGCTCTGACCCTTTTACCAGCCATTGTTTCTTGTGTTCTCAGACTGATACATCCGATCCTGAAAAGGTAGTCTCTGCCTTTCTGAAGGTGGCATCTGTGTTCAAGGATGAAGCCTCAGTGAGGGCAGCGGTGCAGGATGCAGTAGGTAACATGGACTAGATGGGGGACTGACTAACTTATCCTTTCTATGCTCATGCCTGGATGCTCTCCTATATTTTGCAGCTGGGAAACTGAGGCCTTTCACAAAGCCATATGGCTACATATAGTTAGACTCAGGCCAAGAAGGGTTGGGTACAGGCCCTGCCTATCTAAGAAGGACAGATGGTCACATCTACAAGGTCCCATAGATACCTCCTGTCAGGAGGTAGGGCTGAGCCTTCGTGCCCATCAGCTAAGTCTCTGCACATGGGGTTGATACCCTCTCCACCCCTAAGGTCATGACCTGTACATGCTCTCACCATATGGTTCAAGAGGCCGCCTAGAATCTTTCAACACCTCCCTCAAGCCCTGTCATCACCTTTTCTCCACCCCATTCTCTTACATTGCTCTAATTCAGCCTCTGTCACATTCTACCTTGTCCCCATCCATTTGAGTCTCTAAGTGTGGACCAGATTTGGCCAGGCAGAGAGGAGAAGAAAGACCCTGAAGGGGAGGGCACCACTTATGGCAAGGGAGAGAGAAAAGGAATAGAAACACACCAGGCATTGCTTCCTGGATAGGTGCACTGAGCCTGGTTGGGAGTGGGGTGGGCAAGATAAGGGCCTGATGGGAGGCTCCATAGCTGTCCCAAAGAGCCTTCTGGGGACACGTATGGGAATAAGATGCATGAATTCTCTTCCTAGAGCAGCCTATCAGAGTCCCTGCAGTTCCCCTTGCCTCACTCAAGTATCTGAAACCTCCCCCAGTGGTGGTCTCCCTCACAGAATCTGTCCCCACTGTGCAAGGTAGGCACAATGGTATTGTCACCACACCCATCTTACATGTGAGGCCAGACAGGGAAGGCGTTATAGTTGGTAAATTGAGCCCTCCCCTTTCCCTGGTGCCAGCTGCCCTTCTGTCTGGTACTTTGTGTCCCTGTCATCCCTCCCCCTGTCCACCTCTTGCTTAGGCAGGGAGGCAAGGCCAAACCTGTATGCACAAGGGGCTCTGGTTGCCCTCTGGCCTGTGCCTTGCCACTTGCATCCTGCCACACTCACTTCTGCTTCGACAGATGCCCTCATGAAGAAGGCTTTCAGCTCCTCGTCCTTCAACTCCAATGCCTTCCTCACCAGTCTCCTGGTCCACATGGGTCTACTCAAGGTGAGGCCAGAAGGAATGGCAGGCCCAGGAGGGAAGAGGCAGGCACTGCACCAGAAGCTGCTCCGCTCACCCCCACTATGTCCCCGAGGCCTGGATCTGCTTCAGCACCCTTAGTCTTAATGATGGGATCTCAACTGGGTCTCAGCCGTATTGCTGTCAACAGAGTCTAGGTAGTGTGGAACAAGGACCCCACAGCTGACCTCGGGATTCACCTACCTTTTCTTTGTTCTTTGCAGAGTGAAGATAAGATCAAGGCCATTTCTAACCTCTATGGCCCACTGATGGCACTGAATCACATGGTACAGCAAGACTATTTCCCCAAGGCCCTTGCACCTTTGCTGCTGGCATTTGTGACCAAGTGAGTATGACATTGCCCATGCCTGCCCTCTCTCAAGTACCTGATTGATTGAGGCTTCACTAACCTGGTCAGGAGGCTTGGTTCCAGAAGTCCAGCCTGGCCACTCTAGTGTACAAAGGTAGAGAGGCTAATGTCTCCCAGAGTCATTGTGAAAATAAGAAAAGTTGAATTTGTTACAACCTCCTGCCCCAATTGGTAAACACATGTCGGATATGGGGGGCATATCCTGGGGTGTCCACACGACTTGCTAAACTGTTTTCCCCACAGGCCCAATGGTGCCCTGGAATCCTGCTCCTTTGCCCGTCACAATCTCCTGCAGACACTGTACAAGGTCTAGACTGAAAGCTGGCCTCTACTTATCCTTCAGCCTGCACCAGTGATGGGGGAGACGCAAATGAACTGAGCTACAGCTTGCGGTCCTCTTGGATAGGACTCTGACCAGAGATAGGGAGGGTCTTTGTCTCATGTGTTTTGTCAGTTTCCCAAGTATGTGTCAGTTTGGTGCGTGTGCCAGGTGTTTGCTTCCTGTAGGGATTGAGGTTTTTCGTGTCTCCCTCCCTGTTGGACTGGCCCTGGTCTGCCATGTGTTGGCCCCCAGGATAAAGGGCTGCAAGCTGCTTTGCCATTAAACTCACTGCCATCTCAGGGCACTCTGCTGATCTGTGACTCAGGCCTGAGGCTCTGGTGGCTATCCCACCTCACCTGCCTTCCTACCCACTCCTGGGCTGCACTAAAACCTGAGAAGTTGCAGTCCATGTGCTGTGTCACAGTTGGGTTGTTTCCTGCCCAGCCTGAGCCTGCAGCAACTGCCATCCTTACCAATCACACTGCTGTGCTGGCCGCTCCTCTTAAGAAGAGACTGCCAGCAGGGCTATGGGGCTGTCAGCAGAGGGTGAGACCCTGGCCCCACCTCATGAACCAGAAGAAAGCCAGATGGCTGACCCTGGATGGTCCAGGAGCAGGGATGGCCTGGGGCTGCACTGGCTCCTGTGCCTAGTGGGGGCTGAGCCCAAGGCGCATTTTGGCAGGCCCAGACCTATTCTTTATCCTGGAGGAAGATGGGCTGGGTAGGTGATGCCCTGTGACCTCCTTTAGCGGCTGTGACCACCTTGTGCTTTCCCCTTTGTGCTGTGTGTCTGGGCTGTGCCTGGTTGCTTCACAAATAAAGTCATGTGGTAGCTATGGAGACTAAGAAACTTCTTTCACCTAAATCGGGACATTGCTGGGGATCAGAATATAGTGTCCCACCTGTCAGAGGGGCAGGCAGTCCTGCAGAAGAGCTGGTATTAGCCTGTTGCCATCACCTGGGGAAAAGGGGGAGGGTTTTTCTCTGAGCAGTAGAGCTGCTGAGTTGGTGCTGGTTTTACCTGCCTGCCTGTACCTCACTTATTACCACACTTTGAGCTATGGTACCTCTGGCTCCTGCTTTGCACCTTCCTTTGTGGACCTAGCTGGGCTGGTTGCCATTCAGACTTCATCACAACTCTGCTGGCTGCACAGGCAGGAGCTCCTGGACTTGCTGGCAAAAATCACTTCTCAGTTGGGTCTGATTGGAAAATCACACAGGAGGCCTTGCTGCCAGGCCACCTTCCTTGGGGTTCTTCATTGCCACCTGTGAGGTGCTGCCCAGCAGACTTTCCTTACCTCTTACCCTACATGGCAAGCACCCTTGGGAAGCTTGTGTCTCCTACAGGAGACCTCCAAGAAAAGGGTTTCTTAGGAGGCAGTATTTCCATATTGGCTGTCACTTAGGTGACATTTTTCTTGGCAAGTGCCTGAGCATCCCATGTACACATCAGTCCTTATTCTGAGATCAGGCTCATGAGTACTGCATTTTGGGAGCTCCCAGTCTGGCTGGGAGGTCAACAGTTGTGGCCTAGTGAGAGGATGGTGGGCAGCAAGATGAGGAAGCCCTTCAAGCATTAGGGATGTAGAGAACTGATTCTTGAGGTTCAAATAGAATGACTTGCAGGGTGATATGTGACAGAAACAGCTGAGGAGTGGCCTGCCCTGCTCAAGGCTATTCCCACTTGGCCATCTGGGACTGGCCTGTTTCTTCTTAGGGTAAAGTGTGTACAAGCTTTACCTCAGAAGATCTCATTTCACTTCACAACAGGCTCTGGCTCTTTGAATCCTCTTAAGAATACTGTCAAGTCTCAAAAGTTGAAGGTTCTGCCTGCCCTGGCCCCACCTCAGTCCCTCAGACTAGCTTAAGAGGCTGCAGGTGGAGAGAAGTTGGGGCCTGCAACTTTGCTACTTACTGAGACCAATTTTCCCAAGACCTCCTCATGCCACCCCTATGATTATACAAGCTCCAGCTCCCTTGGGTGCTTCTGAAGGAACTTCTGAAAGATCCTGTATGCTTGGCCTGGATAGCCGGGGACCCCCTTCCTTTGAAAAGGCTGCTGAGCACAGGGTCCACTAAAGGGACCTCAAGCTATGGACTTGGCCACAACACCCATTCTGTTCTTACGCTTAGATTAGCAATTCCCCAGGAAGCATGGTCAAGGGGCCTCTGGCAGCACTGCTCACGTTAACCTAGAAACGATTCACAGGCCAGCATCAGGAAAACGGGTACACAGTGCAATGCTGCAGCAGTGAAGATTAATTACAGCTGCTGCATAGCATGCCATGGAGGAGTCAGCGCTGATAGGAGAGGAGAAATTAGTGCTAAGTAATGACAGGTGCCGGTGGCTCGCGCCCGTGATCCCAGCCACTCGGGGCAGAGATCGGGGAGCAAAGTTCAAAGCTAGCCTGGGCAAATAGTTCATGAGACCTTATCTCAAAAGTACCAACACAAAACAGGGCTGACAGTGGCTCAAGTGGTAGAACACCTGCCTAGCAAGCAGGAGACACTGAGTTCAAACCTCAGTACTTCCAAAAAGGAAGTGTCATAATGAAGCTTCTTTATGTAATTAATATATACTAATAAAAAAGCAGCATACTAGGTGCCCACAAATGGGTTAAATTAAAAAAAAAAAAAGAAAATCTGGCCACAGTGGCCCGTGTCCAAAAACAAATGAATTGAAATATAGCAAACCTGTATAATGAAATATTACTCAGTCATAAAAAGGAATGAGGTTGGGTGTGATAGCTCACGTGTGCAATCCCAGCTCCCCACATGGGAGGTGGCGATAAGGTAGATGGAGGTTTGGGCCAGTCCAGGCAAAAAAAAAAAAAAAGACACCATCTCAACCAATAGCTGGGCATGTGGCACATGCTTGTCATCTATGCAGGGAGCATGGTCAGTCAAAAACTAAAGACCCTACCCTAAAAATAAAAAAGGGCTGGCACAGTGGCTCAACTGATTAAGTGCCTGCCTAGCAAGTGAGGCCCTGAGTTCAACCCTCAGTACCATCAAAAGAAAAAATTTCTAATACTTCTAATATAGGCTACTTAACCTTGTTAGTGAAATAAGCCAGATACCAAAGGACAAATATATGAGCCCACTTAAACAGAAGAGCTATCTAGAATAACCAAATCCCAACGGTAGTCTAGAGCCTGATGGTTGGGGGTTGGGCAGAGTTTCTGTGAGGGAAGACGAAAATGCTGTGGGAGCCCACTGTGCTGGTGGCTACGTAGGACTGTAAATGTACTCAGTGCTGCTGAAACGTACACTTAAACTGGTTAAGATGATGTTTATGTTACAAATATTTTATCGAAATAAATTTAAAAATCGCAAGTATATAGCCAGGTGTGGTGGAACACACTTCTAATCCCAGCACTCTGATTATACAAGAGGACTGCAAGTTCAAGGCCAGCCTTGGATACATAGGCTCAAAAATGAAAAAATACAAATCTTAAATATAAAGGCAAATGCAAAATTAGGAGACAGTGTAAAAAAATATCTTCAAGGCTTTGTGATAAGGAAAAGAGTAAGTAAAATATTTTGAACCTCTTCTGTTGGCCATCACTGTGGTATGTTCACATACAGGAGACTATGTAGCAATGAGAACAGGTTTCTTTTTTTTTTTTTTTGCTGTACTGGGGTTTGAACTCTAGTCCTTCACCTTGAGCCTCTCCATCAGCCCTTTTCTGTGTTGGCTGTTTTATTTTCCTAGGCTGGCTTTAAACCAAAATTCTCTTGATCTCTGCCTCCTGAGTAGCTAGGATTACAGGTGTGAGCCACTGGTGCCCAGCGAGAACAAGTTCTATCAAAAGATATGACAGGACTGGGAATGGAGCTTAGTGGTAGAGCACTTCCCTAACATAATGAGGCTAGGTTCCCTGGGTTCTATCCGCAGCATCATACACACACACACACAGACATCATTAAGGAAACAAAAAGCCAAGTCACAGAGAAAATAATTGATGTTTGTATGTATAAATTTCATACACAGAATATATAGTTCCTATAAATTAATTAAAAAACAAAAAATGAGCAAAAGACTTGAAAGGGCATTTTATAAAACATGTGAAAACATGCTTAATTTCTTTAGTCTTCAGATAAATACACATTAAAATCACAACACAGCCAGGCTCACATTTGTAATCCTAGTGACTTGGGAGGCTGAGATCAGGAGATTTGTGGCTTGAGGCCAGCCCAGGCAAAAAGTTTACAAGACCCCATCTCAACCAATAGTTGGGTGTGGTGACACAAACCCGTCACCTAGCTACCTAGGTGGCTGAGGTTAGGAAGATCGCAACCCTGGCCATCCTGAAAAAGCAAGACCTTATCTCCCAAATAACCAGAGTAGGTCTGGCGGAATGACTCAAGTCATAACAGCACCTGGCTAGCAAGCATGAGGCCGTGAGTTCAAACCCCAGTACTGGAAAAAAAAAACAAAAAAAAAACCCCAAATAACCAGAGCATAAAGGAGAGGCATGGCTCAAGAGGTAGAACACCTGCCTAGCAAACATGATGCCCTGAGTTCAAACCCCAGTACTGCTCTTCTCCAAAAAACCATAACCTGATACCATTATACCCTCACTAGAATGGCTAAAACACAGACAATACCAAGTGTTGGTAAGGATGTGGAGCAATGGGCACACCCATGCAATGCTGTTGAATGAGTAAATTAATATAACCGTGATAAGAAACTAACTTTGTTTTCTCCTTCTATTACTGTTCATGAAAGGGTGCTGAATCTTGTCGAATGCTTTTTCTGCATCTATTTAGATACTCATTTTTTTATCCTTTATTCTGCTAATTGATACACATTTTCTTTTTTGTTTTTTTTTAGACAGGTTCTCACTATAGCCCAGCCCAGCCTCAGTTACATCAAAGCTGAAAATAAACATACTTAAGACTAGCAACTCGCTGGGTGCCTGTGGCTCACGCCTGTAATCCTAGCTACTCAGGGGGCAGAGATCAGGAGAACAGTGGTTCAAAGTCAGCCTGGGGAAATAGTTTGTGAGACCCTGCCTGGAGAAACCCATCACAAAAAAGGGGCTGTTGGAGTGGCTCGAGGTGTAGTCCCTGAGTTCAAGCCCCAGTGCTGCCAAAAGAAAAAAAAGGCCCCACACTGGAAACCTAAATGTCCATCAACAAATTAACAGTGGAACGAGTAAATTATTGTACGGTGAGGTACCAAGAGAGCAGAAAGTCTGCCTAAAGCAGAAAGAAATAATTTCACGCTGTCACTGTGAAGTCTGCCTGCCTGTTCACAGTGATGATAAATAACACACCAGGGCTGGTGTGTAGCTCAGTGGTAAAGAGCTTGCTGTCCATGCACAAGGTCCTCAATTCCCCACCCATGGCCTTCGTACCATGATATATCCTCATTGCCTGCATCTGGGGCACATGTCTCCATCTTCTGTTAGAGAACATCTAGAGAACTGTTGTGGTATATTTATAGGATGAAATGCTGGCACACTGTAAAAAATGAAAATAAATCAAAACTGAATTAAAACAAAGGGATGTCACAAATACTGCAATTCCATTGATATGGAATTTGCTGAGTTTAATGCATGTGAAAAAATCTGATTAAGGAAAAAAAAAAAAAAAAAGCTAAGTCAGGCGCTGGTAGGTGTCTCATACCTGTAATCCTAGCTACCTGGAGAGTGAGGTGGGGAGAATGAAAGATCAAGGCCAGCTCGTGAGACCCTATCTCAACCAGTAGCTGGGTGCAATGGCTTGCCCGTCATCCCATGACAGCTACATGATAGGCGGAAATGGAGAGGCTACCAATTCCAGGCCAGTCCTATGGAAAAAAAAGTTTGTGAGACCCCATCTCCATGGAAAAAAGCCTGGAGCGGTGGCATGTGCCCACCAGCTATCGTGGGAAGCATAAAATAGGAGGCTGGCAGTCAGGGCTAGCCTCTAAAAGCGAGACCCTATCTCCCAAATAACTAGAGCAAAAGGGCTAGAAGCATGTCTCAAGCAGTAGAGCACCTGTTTAGGAAGTATGGAGCCCTGAGTTCAAACCCAGTACTGCAAAAACTAAAAACAAAAAAATAGGATCTCTATCTGATTTAGCCCAGCCTGGCCTAGAACTCAAGATCCTCCTGCCTTAGCCTCCTGAGTTCTAGAATTACAGGTGTGTTCTACCATACCTAATTCACATTAGGTGGTTTTTTTTCTGTCTTTTTTTTTTTGGTGGTACTGGAGTTTGAACTCAGGGCCTCATGCTAGGCAGGCATTCTACCACTTTGAACCACCATGCCAGCCCTTTTTCTATTTTAGGGTATTTTCAAGATAGGGTCTCACAAACTATTTTGTCCAGACTGGCTTTGAACGACCATCCTCCTGATCTCTGCCTCCCGAGTAGCTAGAATTACATGTGTGAGCCACCAGGGCCTGGCTTAAGTGTTTTCATAGACTAAGAAGCTGAGGTTCAGTGAGAAGCAGCCCTTCCCAAGGTCTCACAGAGCCTGAAAGAAGCCCAGGCTGGCTCCCCATGGCCCCTCCCTTTTGGCTAGCCTGAGGACTCAGGCCTGGGCTGTAGGCCCTGTAACTCCAACTGCTGCTCCCACCCCCTGCCCACAGCCTGGGGAAGCCCCAGCTCGGCTGGGCTGAGCCGACAATGCCTCCCATTCAGTCCTGTCCTTGCTGCCAGGCCTGTGGGCCAAGGAGGGGGGCTACTGCCGGCATCTAGGCGGAGATCGTCACCAGGCCTTTCCGCTGTGTGGTACCTCCAGACTGGGGCGGCAGTTCACCAGCAGTATGGAGGGGTGAGTCTTTGGGCCCTAAGGGTACAAAGGGGCTATGGATTTGCCAGGTGGCTGCAGGCAAGCCCCTGATCTTCTCTGGGCTTCTGAGAGGCTGGTGGCAGGGGTTCTAGTTGCGTCTAGGCTGAGATTCTCCCAGAGGTGAGTCCTGAGGAAAGCAGTGTATGGGAATGTGGCCACTCTGCTGTGCTCCTGTGAATTAGTCCTTTGTGGTCTTGCGGGAAGGATCGGTGGCTGCCCTCTGAGCCCTGAACCCTTGTCCCTTCAGGAATCTGCCTGATGGACCCCCTTTCTGCATAGGCTCTGGAAAAGACCATCAATTCCAAGGCAGGGGTAGACCCTGGGACTCAAAGGAGACTAAAAAACAGTAACAATCCAGTGAGCAGTAATAAGGGAGGCCAAGAGAGTGGGGTAGTAGCCCAGCCATCAGGAAAGGCTCAGAGGCCATGTGTGACACAAGCTGATAACAAAAGAAAGTGCTGGGCCAGTTAGGTGATTCATGTAGCAAGTGTGTATGGTGGGGGTGGGGGGTGGGGAGGAGATCTGGGCCTGTGCTGTGACAGCAGAGCCTTTCCAGGTACGCTCCTGAAGAACTGAACAGAATCAGGTGTCAGGATTTTCAGTAGTCAGGGCTGAAGGCAGTAGGGAGATGCTGGAGGGTACTCATCTGAGGGTGCCAGGGCCCAATCTGTGTTCTAAACGTTCCCTTTGGTTGCTGGGTGGAGTGTAGGGGAGGCCAGGAGAGCCATGGTGGGAGAAGTTGTGCCTAAGAAGAGATAGGCAATGGCTGTAGTTGTAAGGTAAAGGGATCTAACTAGGGGATGGATAAATGGATGGGTGGATGGAAGGATGGATGGGGTGGATAGGTGGCTGGATGGGTAGCTAGATGTGTGGATACATCTTACCCAGAGTACAGTCCAAATCTAAACCCTCAGATCCCCATCCCAGTCCATGTCAGCTGGGTGGGAGTAAGGTGAAGGGAGGACCAAAGGGAGATAAACAAGATGGAGAAAAAGAGGCCAGAGCTACCCACCTACCATGTCAGTGTGGCTCTGACCAACCAGTACAGGCTGCTCCTCTGTCTCCCTGGGACCACAGCCCCATCATAGCCTGGGTGCATGTTCTGAACCCCAGAATCATTCTCACATTCAGCCAGGCTTCAATGAGCCACTGGAGAGAGAGTCAAAAGGACTTATCAGGTTGATTTTCTGGACTTCCATTTTCTCCCAAGTAAACCAGAACTAGTAAGAGATGCTCCCGTGTATGGGGTGAAGGAAGAGGTTCATCCATGGCACTTTCCTCGACCTAAAGAAGGAAGGCTGAGAGGGGTTCTAGGGAAAGAGCTGCACTGCAGCTGGATCCCAGGAAAGGGCAGCATCGAGGCCCTTCCCCCATGCACCAACTCTTCCTCTCTCCCAGACCCCAGTGTGCCACCCATGGCCCCTTGCTGCTGCTGCTGCTGCTGCTGCTGCTAGGTCCAGTTTGGCATGCAGCAGCCTACCACTGTCCACAGACCTGCATCTGTGACAACGCCAGGCGGCACGTGGCCTGCAGGCACCAGAACCTCACTGAGGTGCCAAATGCCATCCCTGAGGTCAGTGGGGTGGGAGTACAGGCACAGGCTGGCAGTGGGATAAGGGGCGCAGCAGGAACCTGGGCTGGGAACCAGTGGAGCTGTCACTGTCTGGATGGAGACCTTGGCAAACTGCTTCTCTCTTGAACCTCTGTTTTCACATGTGTACAATGGGAAGAAGAAAAATAACTAATAACAGTAAAATAATTTATTTAGAATTCTTCCTACGTGACTGGAATAAGCAGGTGACCATAGATAAATGTTGAGACAGAGAACTGGGGGTGTGGCATGGTAAGATGCTATCTTTGCCCTATGGAAAATAACAGCAGTGACAAGACTGTGAAACGCGCCCTCACAGTGGGCGATGCTCCCTGGTTGGGGAGCAAGGCTTCTTGGAGAAGCAGAATGAAGAGAAAGGAGGGAAAGGTGAGGGTGCAGAGCAGTGTTCCAGGTGAGGGAGGGCCCCTGGCAAGGCCTGGGTCCCTGTGCAGTTCCTCCTTGCTTTTCCCTCCTGTCCCAGCTGACCCAGAGGCTGGACCTCCAGGGGAACATGCTGAAGGTGATCCCTCCAGCTGCCTTCCAGGACCTGCCTTACCTCACACACCTGGACCTGCGGCACTGTCAGGTGGAGATGGTGGCCGAGGGCGCCTTCCGCGGCCTGGGTCGCCTGCTCCTCCTCAATTTGGCCTCCAACCACCTGAGCACCCTGCCCCAGGAGGCGTTGGACGGGCTGGGCTCGCTGAGACGGCTGGAGCTGGAGGGGAACATGCTGGAGGAGCTGCGGCCCGGGTCCTTTGGGGCACTGGGCGCGCTGGCCACGCTTAACCTGGCCCACAACGCCTTAGTTTACCTGCCCGCCATGGCCTTCCAGGGGCTGCTGCGCACGCGCTGGCTGCAGCTGTCCCACAACGCGCTCAGCGTGCTGGCCCCGGAGGCCCTGGCCGGCCTGCCCGCCCTGCGCCGGCTCAGCCTACACCACAATGAGCTCCAGGCCCTGCCCGGGGCAGCCTTGTCCCAGGCTCGCGGCCTGGCCCGTCTGGAGCTGGGTCACAACCCACTCACCTACACAGGTGAGGAGGACGGACTGGCGCTGCCAGGCTTGAGAGAGCTGATGCTGGACCACGGGGCCCTGCAGGCTCTGGGTCCCCGAGCCTTCGCCCACTGTCCGCGACTGCACACCCTGGACCTTCGAGGGAACCAGCTGGACACGCTGCCCCCGCTGCAGGGCCCGGGCCAGCTGCGCCAGCTGTGGCTGCAGGGCAACCCGCTGTGGTGCGGCTGCCAGGCGCGGCCTCTGCTCGAGTGGCTGGCGCGGGCGCGCGTGCGCTCGGACGGCGCGTGCCGGGGGCCGCGGCGGCTGCGAGGCGAGGCCCTGGACGCGCTGCGGCCCTCGGACCTGCGCTGCCCCGGGGACGCGGCGGAGGAAGAGGAAGAGGAGCGGACGGTGGCTGTCCCCCGCCCCACTCCGCGCGCCCCGCGGGAGGAGGACGGGGCGGCCACGCCCTGCCCTCGAGCCTGCGTGTGCGTCTCCGAGTCCCGGCACAGTTCCTGTGAGGGTCGCGGCCTGCAGGCGGTGCCCCGCGGCTTCCCCAACGACACCCAGCTCCTGGACCTGAGGCGGAACCACTTCCCTTCAGTGCCTCGAGCGGCCTTCCCCGGCCTGGGCCACCTGGTGTCGCTACACCTTCAGCACTGCGGCATTGCAGAGCTGGAGGCGGGCGCCTTGGCGGGGCTGGGCCGCCTCGTCTACCTCTACCTGTCTGACAACCAGCTGTCAGGCCTCAGCGCTGCCGCCCTTGAAGGGGCGCCTCACCTTGGCTACCTGTACCTGGAGCGCAACCGCTTCCAGCAGGTGCCAGGGGCCGCCCTACGCGCCCTACCCAGTCTCTTCTCCCTTCACCTGCAGGACAATGCTGTGGACCACCTGGCACCTGGTGACTTGGTGGGGGCGCGGGCCTTGCGCCGGCTCTATCTGAGTGGAAACCGCATCACCAAGGTGTCACCTGGGGCTCTGGGCCCAGCTCGGGAGCTGGAGATACTGCACCTTGACAGGAACCAGCTTAGAGAGGTGCCCACTGGAGCTTTGGAAGGGCTGCCTGCCCTCCTGGAGCTTCAGCTTTCAGGGAACCCACTCAGGGCCCTGCAGGATGGGGCCTTCCAGCCTATAAGCCCATCGCTGCAGCACCTCTTCCTGAACAGCAGTGGCCTGGAGCAGGTGGGCGCCGGGAGTGTGCCAGAGAGCTTAGCACATGGCCATCGGAGGAATACATTCACTTAGCAAATATTTGCCATCCCTCAGTGCCAGGTTTTAGGCCCGGTGTAGAAACCCCGAGATAAACCAGACACTTCCCCTTATCTTAGGAAGCTCGAGCATGGGTGACAGGCCAGGTGGAATGCAGGTTCATACAGTTGGAGGTCTGTTGAGGGACAGCACTACCAGGGCATGGAGGAGGGAGGAATTTGGGTCTGAATGGTGACATACTATTGAGAGACCCTAAAAGGCTTTGCCACTATAGGCGTGGGATTCAGGCACAGCAGAACCATCAGGTGGGCATCGTGTGACTTGAACATGAGACCAGTCTTGGTTTTGACTCCAACACTGCTGATCTCCTTGGGCCACCTTAGGCTATGCACCTTCCCCTCTGATGGGGGAGGATGGAGCTCCCTCTCAGACCTGGGGTGGCCAGCCTGGCAGGCACTTAAACTAGGACCTGGAACCTCCTTCCAGATATCTCCCAGGGCCTTCTCAGGCATGGGGCCAGGGCTCCAGACCCTGCACCTGCAGAAGAACCAACTTCGGGCCCTGCCCGCCCTACCCAGTCTCAGCCAACTTGAGCTCATTGACCTCAGCGGAAATCCCTTCCACTGTGACTGCCAGCTGCTCCCATTGCACAGGTAGTCACTCTTACATGGACCTCCAGCTGGAGATCTGCCAGCTGTTGGCAGTCAAGCTCCACTATTTCTCTGGGGGCACCATGTCCATGTCCTGCTCAGCAGCACGGGGGGCCAGAGCTAGGCATGAATGAGCCCCTGCCAGGTCAGTTACCCTTCCTGGGGGGCTTGGGATAGACTTCTCTGAGCCTTGAGTCCTTCATCCATAAAGTAGGAATATTTGCCCTGCCTAGTATGCTGGGACCCAATAAATATGCATGGACGTTTTATGAAACTATATAAGAAAGCAACAACAAATTCTGGAGAGACTCAGGGTCCAGTTCAGGCTCAGAGATTTTGCCAAAAAAACCTCTCTGAGAGCCACAATAACCTCTCTGGGTCCATTTGTGAAAAGGGGACAAGAGTAATATTATCTCCCTCACCATGGTTGCTAGAATTCAGTGACATTAGTTAGCATATATAAACTGATGTGAGCAGTGTGGCACAAGGTAAGCCCCCTGTTAACTGTTACTATACTTATTCCCTTTTTATGGAGAAGGGAGCTGAGGCCTGAAGTGACTTGGAGGTCCATGTGAGCTGAGCCAGGATTCTCAGCAGTCTATTCCTCCTTTACCAACTGCCCCCAAATCCCCAAAGCCTTCAGCTGCCTGTCCCCACAGTGGACTTCTCAAGCTCTCTTTCCTCCTCAGGTGGCTCACTGGGCTGAACCTGCGGGTGGGGGCTACATGTGCCACCCCTCCCAGTGTGCGTGGTCAGAGGGTGAAAGCTGCAGCTGCTATCTTTGAAGATTGCCCAGGCTGGATGGCCAGGAAAGCCAAGCAGACACCAGCCTTCAGGCCGAGTGCCAGGAGAATCCCTATCAAGAGAAGACAGCGAGGAGCAGACAAGGTTTGCCCTGGGGTGGGTGGGCCAGGTCTCAAAGTCCTCAAGGAGCACTTTGTTCCTGACTTTGTAGCTCAATAATTTTTCTGTCACCTACTAAAGAAATGACTGTGTGCTATTTCATCCTGTGGAACAGTGAGTGGCCTTTCCTATGAGTCTTGGCACACCTGTCCCAATGTGTCCTTAAAATCAATCCTGGAGGGCTGGTGGAGTGGCTCAAGTGGTAAGAGCACCTGCCTAGCAAGTGTGAGTCCCTGAGCTCAAACCCTAAAACAAAAACAAAAACAAAAAAACCCTGTTTTTGCTGGGTGGCTTTGACTCTAGGGGGAGGAGAGTGAAGGTCAGACACAGGTTGGATTCCACTTGGCAGGACATTCACTATCCTGACCCAGCTTGAACTTTCAGTTGTAGCAAAATCTTGTGGTGCATCAAAAAGGGTGAGCAGGGGGTATTGAGCGGGGGGAGCGGGAGGGGGTGGAGTGGGTGGTAAGGGAGGGGGTGGGGGCAGGGGGGAGAAATGAACCAAGCCTTGTATGCACATATGAATAATAAAAGAAAAATGAAAAAAAAAAAAGGGTGAGCAGGATGTGGGTGTCCCATGGATGTGGAAAGCCCTAACGTGTAGCAAAGCCATTGGTGGAGTCTGAAGGGAAGAAGTTGAGCCTTAAGGGAAAATGAGAATAAAGCAGGTATAGGAAGATGGGGAGAGGGCTCTTTCCCTCTGGACCTGTATTTCAAAGACTTGGAATGTCAAAGGGCTGTTAGATGGTGTTAATTTCCTGGGGCTGCCAAGACCAAGTACCATAAACTGCATGGCCTAGGATACCACAGCAGAACAAATTTTTCTTGGGGACTGAAATTAGACATCACGAGAGGGCCACACTCCCTCCAGAATCTGAAGTGGGAGGATCTTTTTTTTTTTACCTGTGATTATTTATTGGGGGCACTGGGGTTCAAACTCAACCTCAGGCTCACTAGGCTGGCACTCTACCACTTGAGTCACACCTCTATCCCCAAAATGGAAGGACCCTGTTTCTGTGGTTTGTAGTAGCATATTCCCAGTTTGCCTACCTCTTAATGTGTCTCTTCACACCAGCTTCCATTTCTGTCAGTGTACATTTCTTTGTTTATAAGGACACCAGCCATATTGGAGTAGGGTTCAATCTAATAACCTCATTTTATCACTCAGAAGACTCTTATTTTCAAATAATGTCAGGCACTGAGTTATTGGGGGTTAAGACTCCAACATATCTTTCTGGAGAAACATAATTCAATCCATAACTGTTCATTGGATAGGCTGGATGTGAGGAAGGAACCTCTAAAAAGACCCCAAGCTACAGGTGAGGAAGTTCTGTCTGCAGGATCCAGATCTGGAGCTAGCTTTAGTAACAAAAGCAGTTGTCACCTCAGCCTCTGGCCAGGCACTACTGCACTAGTAAACAGACACAGGGCAGGTGTGAGGATGCAGAGCTGGGCTCAGGAGTGCACGCTCTTAAGAGTCTACTTCCAGTCAAGACTTAAGCTAAAAAGAGGATGGTGGCTTGCAAGTCTGACTGCTTAGACTATCTGATCCATTTCTGACATGGAAATTTACCACCTCATGCCTGCACTGAAGTTTTATTTTAAGAAAAGGAGTAGTTTCCTTCCAGAACTCCAAAAGAATGGAAGGCTAAGGGCCCCATGCCCCGGCAGTATCCTACACTGTGGATGCCCACCCTGATGGCATGAGGCTGGACCACACCTGCTTCTCTCTCCTGTGGGGCTCTGTTGAGCATATGTCTCACATATGCTTAGTAATGCTGATGAAAAGGCACACTAGTACATGTGTAACATGGCAGACCAACCTGGGCTTAGTCCCACTGCTATCATTTAATACTATAAATGTAAGCAAACAACTCACTGAGCCTCATGAAGCCTGCCTTTTTCCCACCTGAAAAATAAAGTATGTGCCTCACAAGGGTCCTCACAGGGTCATTGCAAAGGTGGACTGGCAAAAAGGCGTAGTCTCCTGGCATAGAAGGCTCCTGTTCCTTCAAGCAGAGAGAACAGACTAGGTCACTAGAAAGGCTGAGGTGTAGGGTGCTTCCTGAAGTGGTAGGACATGGTCTAATCTGTACCAGCAGCCACTGCAGGGCCCCAGGTAGGGGAAGCAGGGAGTGTGGAAGGCTTCTGTTTCCTAGCCAGCAGCCCAACTGTTGAGAATCTAAGACCTTTAGTTCCCATCTAAAGGCAAGTTGAGGCACAGGCTTGAATAAAAATTCCCAAAAGATCAACACTTCTGTGACAAGTCAAATCGGTTGGGTGTGGAGGCCATGCCCATAATCCCAGCACTTAGTTGGCTGTAGCAGGAGGATCATGAGTTCAGGGCCAGCCTGTAAATCAAACCAAACTGACCTATAGGCACCAGCAACACAAATTATGTGTACATCCTTCCATTTCACCAACTTTGTGCCAGCACTTAGTTGGGTTATAGGGACAAGTAAGACACAGGCTCTGCCCTTGGGAAAACTTGTAGCCATAAGAAAACCTAAGTAAGGACAATACAGTATGTGGGGTTTTTGTGTGTGTGTGTGTGCTACTGGGGTTTGAACTCAGGGCCTGCACCTTAAGTCACTCCACCAGCCTTTTTTTGGTGTGTGTGTATGACAGGTTTTTCCAAGACAGGGTCCCATGAACTGTTTGCCCAGGCTGGCTTTGAACCATGATCCTCCTGATCTCTGCCTCCTGAGTAGCTAGGATTATAGGCATGAGCCACCGGCACACAGCTCAGTATGTAGTTGTTATGGAGAAAGGGCACTCAAAAGATGAGGACAGGTGACAATTTTTATTGCTTTGCCCTGTGTGGTAACTCATCTTTATACTTGATGCTATGAGGTGGCATGTCAGAACACGTTCTGCAAGGCACAGAAGTCTGACAAATTGGACTTTACCAACTAAGGAGCTCATACAAGTAAAGGAGCCTGAGGAGCCAGGCCAGGGACAGAATGGCAATCAGACATATCTTCCAGCTCTGCCCTCCTTATCATGGGAACTCATGTTCATGGCACCTCTAGGCATAGTGTCTTCATTCAGGAAGAATGTCTTGTTTCAGGAAGAAACAAAAGCCAAATGGCATACAAGCCAATCTTCTCAGAAGCCTTTTTGTAACAATAATCCAGTAACTGCTAAAGAAGCTGAGATGATGGGTTCTTTAGCTGGGTTCCTGAGCAAGCAGCAGAACAAAGTGCACACTCAGGCCATCTTCTTCCCAATATCCTCCTTTGGGGGCTTATGCCACTCACCTGTCACCACCTGAGTCTCAGAAGAGGTGTACGTGATGGGGGAGGTATGGTCCCTCTGAACTTACTCCTGTGGTCTTCCATCTCCAAACCTATTTACTTTTTGAGGAAATCAGCCTGTACCAATAGGCCCTTTTCTAAGCCTAGGTTTTGCATAGTATGGGGCTATCTAGTGCCTTTAGGAGACAGAACCAAGTTCTCTCTGACCCTGCCCAGAAACACCCAGGCCCATGATAACTGGACACCTGCATCACATCTCAGTGAACAGTGGCTGACAGACCAGTGCACAAGCCACCTGCACAAGGGCTGGAGGGGCCAGGGCAGGTCTGGAAGGCAGCTATTCACAGCAGCACAGCTGCAGTCCTTAAAGGACAGAGGGACCCATCCAGGCCATACCAACTCTATCCAAAACACAGGTGGACAACAAAAGGCTGAGCCAACTGCACTCAGGGTTCCAGGAAGTTGCTGGAGGGGCAAGTTGGTCAGTTTCAGGGTAGACTAATTGAGAAAGGCAAACACAGCTAACATTTGTGCAAATACCAGGTGAACTTCTAGAGTGGTTTCAAAACAAGAAGTTAAAAAGACTTGGACATTAATGAAAAGGAAGCTGGAAGTGTACCTATTCCACCTCCCACTTTCATCCCAGGAAGTGCTGGTGAAAAAATGGGGAAGATCCTCCTTTATGGCCACTTCAGCCCTGGGTCAAACATCAGTTCCAACTCAAACTGAGCCCCAGATTAGGTTAGGCCTAGCTGGGAGCCACCACAGGACATGGATCAGGCTATCTTCTGATCCTACAGTCCCTGGCAGCCAAGCAGACTGGCCTAGTCCACAATATCAAATTCACCTGAGGGCCACAGGCCCCTGCAGGCCTCCCTCACTGTTTCTTTTAGGAAATGGAAGCCAGTGCTTATGTCGACAGAGAAAACCCATGCCTATTATATTGGTCATTGCTTCTCAACTTCCTACCACAGTTGGGTGTCTTAGGGCACTAGGAAGGGCAGTGCCACCACCCAAGAGGTGCACAAGGCCTTCTACATGGTTCAGTCTTAAGTAGAATGCTGCTGTCCTACGACCTCATGTTGGCCAGGGCACCTTCCCTCTCAGAGCCACTCCAGCTCTCAGCACTTTATTCCCATGCTTGCTTGGGCAAACATACACGCAGATCACAGCCTTGTCTTCCAGTGTGATAAGAGGCAGCGCTCACCCTTGCATTCAGAGTGTGGTAGGGGTAGGAGGAAAGTGGGCAGCAAATGTGCCAGCTTCAGTAACTCAGCCACAGAGGGGGTTGCTTAACTAGGATGGGGGCCTCAGGCAGCCTAGTCATATAGGCACTGCCAGAGGCAAAGGCGGGTCCAGGGAGACCCACGCAGTCCTTCAGTGTGCAGCTTCACACATCAGGCAGGATTTACACAAAAAGGCTCAGTCTCCAAACTCAAGCGGATGGTGGCAGTAGGAAGTCGGCCCCCTCTCTGCTCCATGGCCCCGGGGCTGGCTTACAGCTAGGGGCTAGGCTGGTGAAGGAAAAGGCTCAGTTGTCTGTCTCCTGCTTGATGCTCTCAATGGGGATAGGCAGCTCTGGACCAGGAGCCTTATCAGGTGAGTTGCAGTCTAAATGCTCTTCCTTCACACACACAGTGATGACTAGAGAGAGGGAAGGCAGCAGGGAGAGCAGAGAATGAGCAAGTGTGTAATGGGGTAGGGGCTCAGGAACTGGACAAAGGAGCTGGCTTCCTATAGACAGGGTCCTCAAGAGGTGGTAGGGAGCAGGGAAGTCTACCCTTCCAGAGGCAGCAGCAGCAAAGGTCTAAGACCCCAATATTCCTCAGCAAGGCAGACTATATCAGAGCTGACAGCATCTGCCAATCTGCCACCCCCTTTCTGAGTACATATAGTAGGGCAAAGGTGCAAAAAGATGGAAAGAGGGCCAGGGCACCTGGCTGGAGACGCTCAGCTCCATTCAGTGTAAGGGTGGATGGGTGGGGAGCTGGGAGGCTATCTAGACCAGTGGTTCAGGTATTGCTTGGTACCCAGAAAATTCCCTTCAAACTTGACTCTACTCTTCTGTGCCCAGGTGGGGAAGGAGAGAGGCCACCTCTGAGCATGGAGCAGGTTGGTCCTGCCTCAACCCAGCCTAGCACCTCTTACTCTCATCAGGAACAGGCTGCAACAAGACCTTCCGCGTGGCCTGCAGGTCATCCTCCAGTAGGGGCTTCTTGGACCCCTGTCTGAGGGGCCGGGTCTTGGTTGGTGGGATTCTTTTCCCTTTGAATAAAAAACGAATCAAACTCAGCATTAAGGTCAGAGCTACCTGAGCCTTGCAGGCCTGGTCTGATGTAGTGGCCAGGCAGTATGACAGTTTGGGATTGAGGGTCTGGATTCTAACTGTCATACTCCTCACTGGCTGTGGGCCCTGAGGTCAAAGAGGTTCGCTCCCATTGGAGGTCACTAAAAACCACTTCCCTTGGGAGCTGAGGCTCAGGGAAATCATGGTTGTCAGTTTTGTTTCTTGGTCTTAGGTTTCTTTTTCTTTTTCTTTTTGAGGCATGGGAGCTTGCAACTCAGGGTCTACACCTTGAGCCACTACACCAGCCCTTTTTTGTGAAGGTTTTTTTTTTTGAGATAGAGTCTCTCGAACTATTTGCCCAGGCTGGCTTTGAACCACAATCCTTCTGACCTCTGCCTCCTGAGTAGCTAGGATTACAGGCGTGAGCCACTGGCTCCTGGCTGGTTTCTTTTCTTTTTTGCAGTACTGGGATTTGAACTCAGGGCCTCATGCTGCCAGGCATGCCACTTGAGCCACTCCTCCAGCCCCTCATCTTTGATTTCTTTACCTGTAACATGCCATATTCTGGGCATACTACTTTTAAATAGCATGTAGCCACTTGACATATGCCATACTTTCACATGATCTTAATTGTGCTTCTCCAAGGACCTAGTCCCTGTTTCACCTCTGACCCATTTCAGGGCATCCACTTCTCCACATGGTACCATGTGGCGGAGACCACCTGATCATCATGGGCCTGCATCTGAGGACTGCTTTGTTGCTTCTCTTTTGCCCCTCTCCACCCTGATATCCCTTGAGCTAAGCCCACCCTGGGTTTAGGGTCTGCTGAAGGTGGGCCACAATAGTCAGGTGGAGTCTGTCCATTCAGCAGCTGCCTGTGCTCCCACTCTCCAGAAAAGTGTGAGGGAAGAACAGCAACCTTAGGAAGCCAGCATCTTTTTTTCTCTGTGCCTTTCCTTTAGAACCTAGCAGCTGTGGCTAGCCAAGTGGCCATACTGTATTCTAACTATGTGTGGCAGCAGGGATGGAGATCCCCCTTCTCTCACTCAAACACAATCTCTCATCTATTTTCCTTACCATCTTGACCACTGCCAAAGACTGAATGCCCTACTTGTGTTGTGGGTCCCCAAAGGTATAAGGCCAAAAACCCATGGAGCCAAAGAACAAGGGAGAGGAGAGAAGGAATCCAAAGAGAAGTATCCAGTAGGTGGTACCCTGGGACCGAGTACCTGGCTGCCCTGGGGCCTCACTTACTTTTCTTTCCGAACTGTTTCTTTTTCTTCTTTGTGGCCTCTTTGGCCTTCAGAGGTGTGGCTGGTTCTGTTGTTAGAAGACAAGGACAAAAGAGATGAGAGTCATGGGAGGATACACGGCATATGCTAAGACCCCTGCCCTTTACACATAGGGCACCCCAAGGAGGGAAGCCAGAGTTGGAAGTAAGAACACGATGGGGGTGGGGGAGGGGGCTGGAGAACAGCTGTCCCGTCCTCCCGCCTGTCACCAGGGCTGCTTGAGGGGGCCTGGGTTGTTTACCTGGGTGCACAAGGGCCCGGGCATATGACAGAGTGGGCAAGATGAAGGAAGGCGCTCTGCAGGCCAGAGGGAAAGGGAGACAGAGGTCAGGAGCAGGGTGGGAGGTAGAGTGCACTCTCTGCTTAGAGTAACCTGGAGACTTCTCAATCTCATGTCAGAGGTCTGAGATAGACATGGGGGCAGGCATGGGGTGGAGGGGTGGAGCAGTTGGCAGGAAGGAACAAGGCAGAGGAAGGACAGTTAAGAGTCCCTCAGAGCCATAATGGCCCCGACCTGTGGCCACTGGTGGCTGGAGCTGGTAGCCAGTGAGCTCACACCAGCCGACGGGGTAGATATCTGGAGACTCGCAGTCCACCCACTGGTCATACTCGCTGTCCCAGCCATCAAAGTGGATGCTGAGGAGTCGGTGCACCACCCGCTTCACTGTGGCCACGCAGATGAGCCGAGGTTCCATTAGGTCCACGGCCTCCAGCTTCATGCCCACCTTGAAGCCATGGTTAGGACAGTCCTGTGGGGGGGAAGAAAGCAGTTGTCCAGCCAGCCAAAGCTCTGCCCCAGCAGGTTCATCTAGTGTGCGGGAACTGATGGCAGAACTGAGAGTAGGGAAAAGGGCTAGCACCAGAGGGGGGGCCCACTGAGGAAGGTTCCTTTAGATAGCTAAACCACGAGGCTCTTTCCCCAAGCACCAGCGCCTCTATGGAGAAGAATCCAGCTATACTGAGGCCCAGTACGTGACTAGGCAGTGTAGGACTTCTCTAGGAGTGGCTGATTCTAGAAAAGGAGTTGGAATTGCCAACTATGACTGCAGGCAAGGCCAGTCCTGAAGCTGCCACAGAGCCCTTGCTGCATCCCTGGGGGCTCCTCACCATGTTAAAGAGTCTTGATGGAGCTGCTTTCGATTTGGTCTTCTCCAAGTAGGTCTCCCAGTTAAAAGTCTGTGTCTCATACCCTGGGGGAACAAAAAACTTATGATGCAGAGGAAGAGGAGGGAAGCTGGAAGTATAAATTGGGTCAGGGAAAAGAGCACATTGCCAAATAGTCACTTAAGTTTGGTCAGGCCCAGCCTGGAGTTTCCATAGCAGCCTACTTCTCTTCTTCCCACGTTGGCATTGCTCTAGGACCACAGTCCTGTTGCATTGGTTGTTTGCTGCCCAAGGCACAAGTGGGAGCTCTGTGCACCAACAACAGACTGGCCATGGGGTCAAATGAGCCTAGGAGGTGTAAAGGCTAGTGGTGGCTGTTACCTCTCCCACACCAGGGGTCTGACGACTGGCAAGTGTCCCAGTGGCCTCACCCTGCAAATCAAGCATGTGGTGCTGTTCCAGCCTTACCTTTAGGGGGTGTGAGCTCAATGTCATTTTTTTGGCAGAAGGTAGCTGGGAAGATGGCATGGGAAGAGGCATGGTAACAGAACCAGTCTGAGCCATCTGTGGAGGGTCCCCCATCTACACAGATCATCAGGTAGCCATCTAGAAGAACCTACGGGAAGAGCATGGGGCAGATGGACAGTATTGTGTCATAAACTGCAGCCTCTCCAAGGTGAGGTGGGTAGGATGGGGACATGAAGATGACATCTGACTGGATATGAGCTCTTTTTCCCAAGAACATCCCAAGCTGCCCTGCAGAGTAACTAATGTTCTATAACATGCACTTGTGAAATGATTTATCCTCCCACTGGATAACACCATGCCAACAGGGACTGCATCTGTCTTACTGCCACTGTGTTTTCAGTAGAGTACACAGCCCAGCATGGAGTAGGCCGAATGACCAAATCAGCAGTGTCCTCCAGGGCTGAGGCAGGTGTTTGCGCCTCAAGTTGTGGTAATGATGGTGGTTAGGAGGAAAGGAGTGGGGTGGGGCTTTAGAATAGGCCAGCATGCACAGGAGGCAAGAGGCCTTCCTAGGATTTGGTGGGGTGACAGGGTGGGTCCTGCCCCTGGCACAGGACCAGGCTAAGGCATCTGGTATGTATCTGTCCAGTGTGCCTTGGATCCTAACACTATGGCAGTAGGACACCAACACTGAGGAACATGAAAGCTCCCCCTTCCACACAAAAGAATAGCCAGTGTTGGGCCCTGAGAGCCCCTGATGGTGGAGAGCAAAGGTCTTTGCCATCAGTCCCCTCAGAAAGCCATGATGTAGTGGAGAAGGTGACTTAGGCCTACCTTGCAGATGGTCGCCACACAGATGTTGCCTAGGTTTAGGGGGTCAATGGCCTCCAGCTTCATCCCCTCCTCAAACCAGCCACCTTCTGTGTAGACAGCACGTACCTTAAAGGAATAGGGTTGTTGGGAAACCCCTGGACAAGCCTAGGGGCAGGTGCGGGGGCAGGGAGGCAGGCCTCGTATGCTGTAGGCCTAGGAAGGAAAGTGGGAGGGATAGGGACAGTTCCAGAGAGAAGTTGGGCTCGTCAGGCCTGACATAGATTATGCCAACGGGAACAGTGTCCAAGGCATGTGACTCACCTTCTTGAACAGATAAGGAACAGCATCACAGTAGATTTTCCGGAAGGTGGGATGATGAGCCATGTCACTTCGCCTCTCTTGGGAGATGGCAGAGGAAGGGAGGAAGAGAGGGAGTTGAAGGCAGCTAAGGGGCCATTTCCACGCTTCCTCTCTCTGCCTTTGGTCTCAGCTGTATCCCATCACCCCACTCCAGAATGGGAAGGCAGACCAGTCTAGCCCAGAAATCACCTGAAGTTCCCTGTGGGGACTATTCAGGCCATGAGACCCAAGCTCTTTCACATGACAATGCGGACAAGAGCATTTAGGTTCAAATCTTGATTTTACCACTTAAAAGTTGAGAATGACCTTAGTCAAGTCACTCAGCCTTTCTGGACTTCAGTATTGTCACCTGCCATCTCTACCTTTCTCGTGAGGTACAGGGACGGTGTTCCTGCCAATCCCTGAGGATGTAGAACCTGGCATGCTGACTCAGAACTCTGCTAACCTGACATCTTGATGCCATGGCCAACACGCCGTGACCAACCCACTGGGTGGATTAGGGGACTCCACATGTGGCACCAGAAGTCATCGTCACTGTCACCATCCTCATAGAGGAGCCGCAGGCGACCTCCAATTACCGTGTCCACCACAGCCATTCGGGTCCGTGACACCTGGCTCTTGTCTACAACTTCTAGGCGCATGCCCTGCCGAAAGGGGTACTTCATGCTCTCCACCATCTGCAATGATATTGGAACACAGGTCTGCTGCAACCACAGGGCTCCATCCATCCACCTTTGCTCTGTCTCTTAAAAGGGGAGGACAGGGCAAGGTGGCGGTATTACTTATGATACAAAGTCAGAAGGCAGGAGGTGAGCTCTTCCACCCTGCCAGGTTCACCTGGGTCCTGATCCCCTAGAGCCAAACAGAAAGCAGTCACACAGATCTTGCTGCCAAATGTAAGTCAAGTTGACAAGAATCACAAGACCTAATTCAGATCAAGGGAAATCAAGGGACCAGAAAGATCAATGATGTTGCCCAGAGTGACACAGAATCATTAGTGTCACAGATGGGCCTGAGACCTACTATCCAGCCTGGGCTTTTCACAGGCTAGGATCCTAAGCCACACAGATCTTTCAGCCCCGAAGTTCAAGGGCTAGAATCTAGTCTGACACCAACTGTGCATCTCAAGTGGCAGCAACTTATTTATGAGAATGACACAGTGCAGAAAGACTGGTTTAGGCCCCTCTGGCCCACTTGTCCCTCACTGACACATTTCCTTCCTCTACAGTCAGAGCATGGCCCACAACCCAGTAATACTTCTTTGCCACTGAGAATAACACAGCAGAACGTCAGCTGTGTAAGGGCAGATGGATACGGACTCATTTCCATATCCTCATCTTAGAGTACAGAACTAGGCATAGAGTTGGTGCTCAACTAATGTTTTTTCCTCCGGTGAATGAATGAACAGATAGACAAACACCTGACCTTGGCTTAGGGGTCATTTATTCATTCAAAACATTACTGAGCACTTAACCACATTGCAAATATCAAAGGGCCATGTCTGAACTGGAGTTTCCTCCATAAACCTACCTCATTCTGACCTCCACATCCCCATTTTCAGAGAAGGCTGGCAAGGCAATGACAAGAGTGCTTCCTATGGGAAAGGCCTTGTCCCATCTAAGCTGTGGTTTCCATGTCAAAGCACATAGTGCTTCAAGTTTCTTCTCAAGGCAATGACCTCCTAAAAATCAGAAGCCCAATGATCCTCTCTGAAACTCCTGTACCTACAATGTGGTCTCACTGTGCCTCTCATTCTTTCCCAAGTTACTATTATTATTTTTTTGTGGTACTGGGGCTTGAACTCAGGGCCTACACCTTGAGCCACTCCACCAGCCCTTTATTTTTATGTTAGGTATTTTTGAGATAGGGTCTTGCGGAATTAACTGCCTGGGGCTGGCTTTAATCCTCGATCCCCCTGATCTCTGTCTCCTGAGTAGCTAGGATTACAGATCTGAGCCACCGGTGCCTGGCCTAAGTTATTTTTTTTGCCTCAACCAGGGGCAAAACCAGGAGCAGTTTCATTCTGCTTTTGCAAGACTTGTGTTCAGGAAACTGAGGTCCCTGTGTCTTCTATGTCTAATTCCAGCTCTGACTCCAAGGGCTGTGAAATGCCTTCAGAGCACATCAGTAGCAATCCATGCCCTCTGATCCAGTAAGGGTGACTGAGCAAGATGCCAATGAGCTGCCCTACAGAACTACAATGTGTGTGTTTGGTTCATTGTGAATTTGGTGCTGTATTACCTTGGGTAGGAAATAGGCTTAGTGTAGGGCTTTTTCTGCTCCAGGGCATGGCTGGCCCAAAGAAAGTGGTCCACCTTGGGCCTGTGATGGTGATGACACTAGGATGGAGCAGTGCTATTTCCAAATATGCCAGGAGGGGAATGTTAGAGATGACAAAGCAGCCAGCTGGAAAAGCTGACCTAAGACAAGGGCTGAAAAGTAAAGTACTGCCTCCAATCCGCAAATCTGTGAACTATGCAAGGCACTATGGAAAACATAGGAGAGAAAGCTTAGTTTTGTTGGAGAAGGAACACAGAAGGAGAATGATGGAGGAGGTGAATTTAGCTAGGATATACTGTAAGCAATTTTGTATGACACAATATGCCCCCAGTACAACAATAACAACACAAATAAAAACAAAAACAACAACAAAAAGAAGAAGACAGCTGGAGGGGTGGCTCAAGTGGTAGAACTCCTGCCTAACAAGAGCAAGATTCCAAGTTCAAACCCCAGTGCCAGCCAAAAAAAAAAAAAAAGAGAGAATAGGAATAGACAACAACATAAGAGAGACAAACAACAAGTAATAAGCAGTACCCAAGAAGTTCAAATAAGGGAAAAACCACTTATTTGAAAACAAACAAACAAAAAAAGGCAGGAAATGCTTGAGGTGCACTGAACAATGCCTTGCTGAAGGCTGGCTCTCTGGAGGCTAAGAAGACCCATGACACACAGCCTTTCCACCCGGTGTCCAGTGCCTTGGCCACAATGGCCCCAAATTCTATTGCATCTTTGTTTTCCACTGTTAGCTTCCATACTATCCATGCCCACCGAGGCAAAATTCAAAAGCCATTTTCTCCAGGAAGCCTGGTGGGTACCTGTTCCTCTGAGACCACAAGGACAGGTGAGTCAAATGTCCTTGCAGCACTTGCCCTGCACCCTGATGTGAGGCCTACTGGGTTTACATAGGGACACCACTAGGAGCACCTGGCTCAGGAGTCCTCGACATGACCCAGAGAACTACATGGGAGAGGGTACGCAGTGAGAAGTCCAAAGAGGCAGGAGTACAGTCTTCACGTAGACCCTTCTGATCCCTCTGATTGATTGGTATGTATATATGTACTTTTTAAGTTAAAGAACTGAGTAGTTTTTCCAAATTAAAATTAAGGGCCACATGTGATTCTGAGGCATATTTCTAGCTCAGAATAGAGGCTAATTTAATATTAATTATCTGCATGACTCGTTTCCTCTGCCAGGCAGAGATTCATGGATGGCAGGGTCTGTATTTTTTGTTTTCCCACAGTGCCTTATACACAAGTACGTGATAACATCTAGAGCAAACACTACTGAAAAATGCTACAGTCAAAGGTAAGAATCTGAAAGAATAAAAGGCTAACAAAAGCAATGTGATTAATGTGGCCAGAACAGGGTCTGAGTGGGGAGAAAAGTGGCTCCACCCTGAGGAAGGGTTGGATTCTGTCCTGCAGAAATGTGGAGTTGCTAAAGATCCTTAAAGCAAAAGGTCTTAAAAATATATCGTAAGGGGGGTGCTGGCGGCTCACGCCTGTAATCCTTGCTACTCAGGAGGCAAAGATCAGGAGGATCACAGTTTGAAGCCAGTCCAGGCAAATAGTTCACAAGACTCTATCTCTAAAAACCCATCACAAAAATGGGCTGGTGGAGTGGCTTAAGGTGTAGGCCCTGAGTTCAAACCCCTGTACCACAAAAAAAAAAAAAAAAAAAAACCCAAAACAACAACAAAAAAAAACTGCAATGAGGCTCCAAGGTTATTGTTCAGTAGCAGAGTGCTTGTGTAGTATGTGAGAGGTCCTAGCTTCCATTCCCACTACACACACAGACAAAAACACAGAGCATGAAGGATGGAGAAAAATCAGAGAGGGAGGGAGACCCACTGGGACCCCCAAAGGGCTCCTATCAGACCTTGATATGGAAATCCACAGGAAGTGTCCTGGAGCCTACCAACCGCTTCATGAGGTAGCTCTTCCAATCAGTAAACTTGGCGTGGATGGCTGTGGAGACACAAGCAGAATTCTTGTTATACAGATTGACAACAGAGACCCAAGATCATCAGAGGGGCCTGAACAATTTATTTCTGCAATTTCAGGCCAGCAACGACTTCATTATACAAAACCAAGCTCCAGAAGTTGAATCTGTCCAGGGATGGGGAGGGGACAAAACAAAGATGCAAGTAGGTTCTGTTCTTTCTAACCCAAGAGAGAGGGATCTCCCTCTATCAAGGAACCAGGACAGGAAAAATTTTGTCAACTCACTCCGTGGAGGCACCAGGATTTTGCTATTGATAGCACACCAGCCAATGGGGTGGACATCCACGGTTCCCAGGTTGCACCAGAAGTCATGGGTGGCATCATTTTCAAAGCCTTCATATCGGAGCAGCACCCGATACCCTGAAACGAAAGACAAGGGTGCCTGTGAGAGAGGATGGGATAGGAAAGCTATGTTCTCAGGCCTTCTCTATTCTTTAGCCTAAGCCAGACTTCCCACTTACTATATCACGAATTCCTTCTATGCAAGTGTAGCCCCTATTATACTCAACAAAACAAATCCATGCTCTTATTTGGAAGGCGTTGTGGCATGATTGTGTGATGTGTGATTACTTTTTATACCCTGATCACCCCTGGAATAAACCTAAAAAACTGAAGCTTCCAAACTGCCTGGCTCTGTAGTCCTCTCTAATGTAGGATTAACCCCAAGAAGGGGAAAAGAAACTCTTGTGAGTGGTGTTTTATTTGATTAAGCCAATTTCTCCCTACAATACTGTCCACCTACCAGAAATGTCATTCTGTAGACACATCCCAGGCCCTCCCTGGTCAAAGGGACACCCACCTGCTGCCTGAATGACAGTGGCAATCCAGTACACCCGGCTGGGGAGCACAGCATCACTATTGAGCACCTCCACTTTCATCCCCTTCATGACATCCTCCCACTGGTCATACAATGGTACCTGTGTGGCAATAAGAGCATTCAAAGAATAGACGATGGGAGGATGGCAGTGGGGGCAGGCAGGGCACTGGGTGGAGGTTCAGAGTCACAGAACTGAGTTACCATTGCAGGACCACCTAATCATATAATCTTGGGCACATCTTGGCAAGTCTTAATCCTCTGTCACTATGCCAGCCAGTGTAACAGTAAAAACTTCCAGTGCCCACCTTGTGTTAGATACCTTTCTCCACACAAATGCCATCACTCAACCTGGCTAGTATTATGACGCCCTCATTTACATGGAGCTACTGGCTCACATACTATTCATGGCATGTTCTCTCTCCAACGATCCTTTTACTAACATGCCCCCAGCATCACTAGGCTGCTTCTAGCTACCTTCCCAGTGCCTAATCCTCACTTTGCTGCCAATGGGACAGCAAAATTTTCCCTTAGGAAAATTCACCTTCTTTCATTCTCAGCCCTGGCCTAAGCTATTGGGGTAGCTCATCCATCTCCCTGCGTACAGAAACTGGCTCACACAGATCATTGTGGGGCTCAGGCACACGGGGCAGATTCTTTATAAGGCAGAGTGAATCTTGTGTGTTAAACTTGAGTATGATCTAACTCCCCTGTGATGAAAATGGTGGGAATACTAGAGAATTCAGGGCAAAAAAGAGGTACCTCCCTCCACCCCATAGGCAAGATGTGCCCCTTCAGTAGCAACTCAGAGAAGGACAGAGTAAGAGAGTTAGCTGTTGAGATCAACTTGTCTTTGTGCAGGGTGCTACCCAGCATGCAGCAGAAGTTCAGAAAGGTCATCAGGCAGCAGACTCACTTTGGTCAAAAGAGGCCTCCTCTGTGACTTCCAGGGCTTTAGGAAATTGAATTGAAAAGCAAAACAAGACACTGCTACAGGCATCACTCCTAGTCTGCAGGCTAGTACAGGCTACAGCTGCTGAGTATTAAGTTCCTGACTTCAGGTCCATCCACCAGATCTCAACCTGATTTCTCAGGGATAGCTGGCAGGTAGCCTCCTGCAGAGGTTGGTTCCAGGACTGACTACACTGCCTTATGGGGAGCAAGTGGTACAGAAGTGCCATGCTTTCAAAGGGAAAGCACTACAAACAGGAGAGAAAGGTTTCAGACTTGGAAAGACCCTTAGACAAGGGCTGGGGTGTGGCACCATGGTGAAGTGCACATATACATTCAATTCTAAACCCCAGAAAGAAAAACGGCCCTCAGACTCAACTAGCACAGGATTCCATTATGTAAATAACCAAAGTAGGGACCTCAGAGAGGAAGTGCAACTGAGCATGGTACTAACAGCCCTCAATGTGTTTGCAGGAGGATTTTTTTTGTGAAGTGGACATAAAGGTAAAAGGGAGTGAACAGCAAGGCTGGGCTTCTCCCATGCAGACCTCCTCACTGTGGTGATGAGAGTCAGCCTGGAGAAACTCTCCTGAAAAGAGTGGGGAGCATGAAAGTCAGCAGCCCCCAGGCATTCCTGGCAGTTCCTCCCTCACTGCCCTGGCACTCACGTGTTTAAAGCAGCTGACAGGAGCGGCCTTGTAACTGTGATCCTTCAGGAACTTTCCCCAGTCGAACCCCAAGACTAGAGCTGTGGAGCAGAAAGAATTGAGGCTAGGGACTAGAACAGCCAAGCTGTACCAGGAGGACCTTATAGGGGGTGCAGAAACATTTCTCTTTTTTCTTTTTTTTTTGCGGTACTGGGGCTTGAACTCAAGGCCTTCACCTTGAGCCACTCCACCAGCCCAATTTTTTGTGATAGGGTTTTTTTTTTGAGATAGGGCCTTGACAACTATTTGCCTGGGCTGGCTTCGAACTACAATCCTCCAGATCTCTTCCTCCTGAGTAGCTAGGATTACAGGCATGAGCCACCGGCGCTTAGCTAGAAACACATTTCTATCCAACCTAGCTGCCCCTATCAGCTCTGCTCTGCAGCCCCTTATATGCAACCATACCTGTCCCACTAGCAGCCATCAGGACAGTGAGGACTGACTCTAAAATCCACTAGACACTCAGGAACATTTAGAGGGAAACTTCACATCCTTCCTCCCCCAAAGAAAGGGAAATTCAAATGTCCTTGAGCTTAAATTCCTCAGACTTCCCTCATCTTCTCATTGGCCACACCCAATCCACATGAATGGGAGGAGAGCCCACCTAGGCCTCCATCACCCTCCTAGCCGTGGAGAACAATTTCAGTCTACAACTAAAGACTACAATACAGATGTGCTGCTCTGGGCCTACATTTAATTTGCTAAGAAATTGTTATACTCAGAAAAATGAAGGGCTTCACACCCTCTGAGCCTCCACTACCCTAGAGAAAGAGAAGCCAAGGCACATAGATAAAAGCAATGAGAATCAAAAGCAGCTAATTCTTGCTTTCTGAATCATCAGGGGTAGGGGTCCTGGCAATTGAAGGGATTTTCTGAGGTCATTTCCACAATACCCAGCAAGTGAGGAGTTATAATCCACAGTAAGCCTGGGTCCCAGCACTTTTTAGCAGGCTTTTTCAGACCTCACTCCTAGGGAAGACCATCCCGGCCCTGGCCCCCACATTCCAGGCTTCCGTCTCACCATCTTGTCCTGTTGGTGTCCCATCTGCTAGCTGTCCTGTGCCTTGGGAGTGGAGAAAAGCTCCAATTTTGGCAGACCAGGCTGCCTTGTGCAGGACTTTGGCCTTCTTGGTGGGTGGTTTTCCCTGGAGGGAGTAAGACAGGTGAGATGATGTGTATAGCCTGGTGACTAAGAACAGAACTCTGGATTTGGATTCATAAGGTTGAGATCCTGGTCTTGGTCAAGTTACTTAACCTCTTTGGGCTCCAGTTTGTTTTGAAAAACTGAGTGAGATGTAATAATGCTTAATTCAGGGGTAGTTGTGGGGAAGGAAGGAAGGGTCAATGGAGCTGCAGAGCCGGGAAGGACATATGTTCTATCTTTCAGGCCTTTGCTGCTTCTAGAAACCTCTCCTTAACAGCTTCAATTCTCAGTCATCTTCATCCTCCCTAACTTCTGTAGACCTATAGCAGAGAATGGGCTGTAGAGGAGCCAAAAACTCTTAAACTCAGAGGCAATATTTTGTACATATGTGAATGTTCTGGAGAGAGTCCATGGCTTTCATCAGGTGCTTAACAGAAAGGCCACTCATAAGGTCACTTATAACTTAAGCACTGATGAGGAAGGAGGAAGGCCAGAATTTATTAAACAGATCAGTGAAGCAGAAATGTGGGTTTAAGTCCCAGACAGAACTGGAGTCAAACCCTAGTTCTATAATTTTTAGTTATATACCATGGAGTAAGTTACCAAAATTTTTGAGCCTTTAAATTAGGAATTAAAAAAAATTTTTTTTTAGGATCACTGGTAGGCGAAAAATGCAAGTCCTTCGCAAATACCCTCATATTGTAGCTGTTATCGTTAGCTCCCTGAGAACACGGACTTTTCTATGCCCTGACTAAAAATCCACAAAACAAGAAAAATGGTAACTATCTTATAAAAGTGACAAAGTGGGCTAGGAGGGTAGCTCAGTGGTAGGGTGCTTGTCCATCATGCATGAGGATCTGGGTTCAATGCAGCATCACACACACACAAAAAAAACCCACAGCCTAAAGTGATAAAGTATAGAAAGCACTAAGCAGGAAGATCCACCACACAGCAACTTCTAATAAACATCACAGCAATAGTTCTCAAACTTTGCTACATGTAGAACCACCTGCGTGCTCCTTAAAATCCCTATGTCCAGGCCACACTCTATCTCAATTACCTCAGGCTTGTTGGGAATAGGACCTAAGCATCAATAGTTTAAAAACCTTCCAGGTGAGCCTAATGTTCAACCGAGTTTGAGAACCAGTTCTGTGGATGTTGAGCAACTTAAGGCCAGGCACCTGAGATCAGATTCCAGCCAAGCTTCCACTGCTCTCTTCCAACGGTCATGCTGGGGAAGTCATTCTAACTCTCTGAGCCTCAGCACATTTAAGTGTGTGTCGGACAACATATATCTAAAATATATGTTTATCTCTATCTATAAATGTCAACAATTAGAGACTGGCAAGATTATCTGTGGGGCTGCCTATGACGTGGAGTAAGAGAAAAGGAATTGACTTCCTAAAGCTACTATGGCCAGGGATCCTTGTGCCTCCTTTTTCCAGCTTCCTTTTACGGCATTTATAAAAGTATGATATTAAGACCAAGGGCATCAGGCTCCCCAAGGTAAGAACTCTTGTTTAAAATTTATTGGGAATGTGAGATTCTAGGGGATGAGAGTGAGGAAATGAAGGTAGCTCTAGGAATGAATTTCTCTGTCCTCTAAAGTTTGAGAACAACTAAATACCAGGAAACATTCCTCCAATGGCCACATCAAGGAGCTCTCCAAGCCTGCTAAGTAAGCCTTTGCCTTCATCAGTTTGTGGTTCCCCTCTCAGCACCCAGGGCCCCTAAAAGGGTGTACGCGGTTGCCTCTCTCACCTGTAATCTAGCCAAGATACTGGCTTTCTTGGAGTTAGAGGAGTAGCTCCTGGAACAGGAGACGCTGCAGAACCTCTTGGTCTTGGAGAAGAAGGCTTCCCTTGTGCCCACGATACCACACATCTCACAGACAGCTGGGAAGAGAACTTAGCATGTGACTCCCCAACACGGTCACATCAAATCAAGCAAAATGATGGGCCCTACAAAACTCAGGGTACTGCATTAACCAGGTGAGCCCCAGCACCCACTAAGGCTGACAGAATTACAATAAGAGGAGGAGGAGGTACTGCTGTGTATATTATTAAAGACAGTCAGGGCTGGAGGTATGGCTCAAGTGGCAGAGTGCCTGCTTAGCAAGTGTGAAGCCTTAAGTCAAACCCCAGTACTGCCAAAATAAAAAATAAATAAAAACAGTTTCTCTATGTTGCCCAGGCTGGCCTTGAATTCCTGGGCTCAAGTGATCTTCTTGCTGCCTCAGCTTCCCAAGTACCTAGGACTACAGATGTGTGCCACCTTGCTCAGCCTGGTGCATGCATCTGAATCTGTGTTGCCCAAGCTATACTTGGCTTTGTATCAACAGCAGGGCTAATCCACGATGACAACTGGGGAAACAGGTAGGTGTTGGCAAATTTTCGAGAGAGAAAAATTAGATGAGAAAATGTGCCAAACTCACCCTCTGTGGCTCTACTTTTTCACTTAAATAGCAAAGAGACTGAACTGAATGTGTTTTAACCCTGACTTTACACCAGAATCACTTGGGAACTTTAAAAAAATGCCAGCGCCTGAGATGCTAATGAATAGGTCTGTGGTAAAACACATGCATCTGTAGTTTGTTATGAGTTCCCCAGGTGATTCTAATCTGCAGTCAGGGTAGAGAACCTCTGGACTAGCTGCTCTTTAATTTCTTCCAGTTCTAAAGTTCTATGACTCTAAGAGAAGGACTGGAAGAAGACAGAAGGGAGAAAGATAAGAGAAAGGAAAAGAAGCCAAGATGAATGGAAAGGAAAGAATATTCAACTAGTAAAGAGTCTTAGATTACTCTTCTAAAGAGTTTAGGTATCAAGGAATGGGGACGTCATCACAGACGGTCTAGCCTGTCTCTATTCACAGACAGCCCACACACCAGAGATCCTGACACAGGGGTCTAGCAGCTATCCAAGCATCATATCTCTAAAGTGAACTGGCTTCCAGGTGATCCCAGGGGATTCTTATCTGCCAATCGCCACCCTAAGCCTCTTATCTGGAGGTTACATTACCCTGTATTAACCCCCATAATTCCCTGACTTCCAACCCACAAGCTATATCTTGTCCCTACTGGGAAAGTACCCATAACACTTTTAGCTTCCTATCTTCTCCACATCCTCAGCCTACTCCTGCAAATGTAAAAGCAGCACCATGTTACTGACTGGTATCTAATATGGGCTGAATAAATATTAGTTATATAAAGAATGAATGAAATCACAACTTGAAACCAGATACCAACAGGAAACCTTGTGGTCAGGTCCGTAGATACCTGACTCCTTTGATATCAGATCAAGCAGCCTTTTGCATCAGAATGGGTCTGCCCACATTGCCTGTGTCCATCCCCCTCTTCCTCCATGACCTCCTAACTCCTATTCATCTTCAAAGGACACTGTGAAGGCACCTGGCTCAGAACCACTGCCATCCAAGGAGCGAGGATTCCCAGGGCTGAGCAAATGTAGTGGAGAGGTGGGCAGCTCCCCTGCTTCCCGATCTTCATTTTCTGCTTCACTTGACTCCTCTAGATAGGAGCTACTCTCACTGCCCACACTGCTGTTATAACTCCGGAAACTGTCGTAGCCACCAAACAGCTCCAAGTCGTCATCTTCCTCTTCTTCCTCCATTGGTTCTGAAGATGGAGTCTCCTAGTAGAATGACATAGACCAAGCAGAAGGAATCATGATTGGTTTTAGTGCATGGGGAGAGAATTTACAGATCTGCTATCAATCCCCTATCTGGTTCTTTTGTCATGTTAGCACCTTTAGGAACTTCCTAAATACCCTTTTTGCAAACACCAGGATCATTTCTTCTGTTTACACATTTCTCTGCCACAAGTCAACAGAATAGCATAAGACAGAAAATGTGTTTGGAATTCACTAGGATTCTCTGTGGGTATACCAATGATTTTAATGTGGATGAAACAGAATACAGATTTTCACTGACTTTCAATGGTGTTACATCTGATAAACCCATCCTAAGTTGAAAATGCATTTAAGACATCTAATCTATCAAACACCATAGCTTAGCAACACAGTACACCATAGAGTATTGGATTGTTTCTCCTGGTGACTGTATGGCTGACTGGAAGCTGCAGTTTGCTGTCATTGCATCACAACAGAGGGGCATACCACATATTGAAAGTACAGTTTCTACTGAATGTACATTGCTTTCATACCACTGTAAAGCTGAAAAACTGAAATTCAGGTACCAGAAATCTATAGCAATGTGAAAATATCCTAAGCAAAGCACCTCACAAAGGCTTTCTGGAATAGAGATGTGTATTAGAAACTCATTCTTCCCTGTTCACATGTACACCAAGATAATCTCAAGAACAAATGACTTGGGAGGAGGGAAGGGAGCCAAGGGATGGGCATCTTGTTTTTTTTTTTTTTTTCTTCCTTTGAATAAATGTCATTTTTTTGAGGCAAAAGAAGGAACTGTGAACATTTTAAACACCCTTTTTTCTTTGGGGTAGGCTCTTGCCCCAGGTGCCATCTCCTCCCAAAAAAACACTAATCTGTTTTCCCTAACCTAGTCACCTCTAGATCCCAGAGGCTCTCCCACACCAGCCAAATCCCTCTGAAGGTTCAAGTGACTATAACATGTCAAATCAATCTCACTTTCTGGACCAAATCTGCAGGGAGAACCCAGGTGGGGGGGAGCAGGGGAGAGAAAATGGTAGCCATTTTTACATTGTTTTGTATAGTATTTATTGATTCAGGAAACTAAACAAAATGCTGAATAAAATAATTTGGAAACAAAAAAAAAAAGAACAAATGACTTAAGTTAGGGAAAAGTTCATTTGAGAACTGTCCCAAGGAGGATTTGGAAGTCAGATGGCACACAGCTATGGCATGTTGGTACTGGATTCCGCTCTGATCCAAATTAGCAAGTCATTTAACTTCTATGGACCTCAGATTTCTAATCTAAGAAAAATGTTGGCTCACATGATGTTAGATGTAAATGAGATCCTGTATATAAATCTACCTAGCATGTAGTAAAAAAAAGGTGTAAAGCAAGGTAAAGAGTTTGGGGCTCTAGGCCAGGGCTCAAATACCATCTTTAGTGTTTATAGCTGTGTGCATAAACACAGAGACTGCAGCAAGTCAATCTCTCAGTGCCCCAGTTTCCCTAAGACCACCATAATACCACCTATTTAACAGGATTTAAGGAAGAGATGATACAAATAAAGCACTCAGAAAAGTGACTTGAATATAGTAAATGCTCAATAAATATTGGCAATTATTAGTGGCTAAAAGCATGGCTTCTTGAATCAGATTTGCACAGGTTTGAGTCCTGGGCTCTACCAGTTATAAACTGTGGTTTTGTGCAAGGTATTTATCTCTGCAGCCTTTCCTTTCCTCATCAATACAATGGAGATAATAATAAGCCTCTTTAGAGGATTGCTATTAAGATCAAGATATGTAAAACCTAGTTCTGTTTTCAGCAGTTATTAACAGCTCCAAAAGTGTGAGCTATTATTTTTCACTTTATTATTCTTCTTTACCCTTGTAAAATTTTCGAGCTATTCTATTTTATATTTCCAAGTACACATGCAAATATGCTAGAAGGAAACAGAATTCAAATATAAGGTACCCAGAAGCCAAATCAGGGGTGGATGGGTTACAGGTTGTTGGATTAGTGGGGGGGGGGGACCCGTAAGGAGTAACGTTTTGGAAGCTGACATACTTACATCCTGGGGAACCCACCACCTCGCCAAGCTTCAACGGCTTTGGCCCTCAAGACCAAGTAGTATCACAGAATGGTGTGACTATTAGGGGATAATGCCTGGAATAATCTTAAAACTTCATCTCCCTTCACTGCCCACCTGGGTGTGACAGTCAAGGAGCACACGAGTTAAGGACAAAGACGTCTCAGCAGCTCAAGGATCAGAACCCAGTTCTCTTCCAAGCTAGGGAGGTGTCCGTTCCAGATCTTTTCGTGAATCTGCAGCCCCGGCAGCATAAGAGCAAAAAGTAACGCTAATCGCCTCTGGCCCAGACTCGGCTTACTTCCTCCATTTACCTGTCCTCCCCCGCCCCAAGGCGTCGCTAAAAATGTCTAAAATAGGGTCCAACATGCGAAGCTCTCGGGTTCCCGTTCCCAGTGGTGCTAAGCCCTTCTCTTCTCACCTCAATGCCCCGAGGCTTCTCCATGAGACCTAACTCAGTTTCTTCAACAGTCACCAGGTGCGGGAAGCCATATTGGCCTCGACGTTCTCCCCGGCCACACTCATTGGCCGCCTCCCTGAGCTGCAGACCAATCACGCTGCAGGAAAGAGGAAAAGCCGGTTCCCCGCTCACCCGTGCCCCTCCCCCACCAGGGAACCGGGAAGGCGCGCGTGCTGATGGGATTCGTAGTTCCCGCTTACGTGCACTGCCAAACAACGTGACCCTGGTGCTCCCACACTGACCTCATTATGCCAATGTCTGCCCTTCCATGAGACCCTATTCCTCATCAAAAGATTACTGAGCCCCTTATCATAGGCAGTTTCAGGCGCCACGAAAAATATCGCACTCCTCTCAGAAATTTAAAGTGCCTAGCAGAAGGACTCATTTCCAATTCAGGTTGGAATACTTTTTATGGTTAATGCTATAAATATCTGGCTCGCTGAAAATCCTCAACATGAATAAAATCTTGAGTATGAGGCTCTCCGCAAAAATCTCACACACAAAAAGTTGCAAATATAAAGCAGAATAGCGTTTGGATTCCCCATAAACCTCTTTCCACACCCTGAGTTCTAGGTGTTGTGGAGCCTTACAAACATCTCAAATCTGTAGATATCTAGTCACCGTGTCAAAGAAGAGAAAACGATGGCACTTCAGGTTGGGACCCTTTCCAAGATCACATAAGATTTAGCCAAAATTCTATTTTTTGTGTTTAATTTGTATTGTGTCCCAATTAAATTGAGAATCTACATGTAATAAGTGGAGGTGGAAGATATACAAAATATATTCCTGAACTTGATATCCACTGCAAGGACGTGAAGGTCTTCCTTGAGTACTGTGGCAGAACATTGGGAAGGGGGCTCCCGGATAGGGGAGGGGAAGAGAAAGTCTGCCTCTTAGGAAGTGCACACAGACTCGCAGGATGAGAAGGAGTCATTCGGAAGAAGGGGCTTTGAAGGGGAAGGGCGTTCCAGGGAGAGACCCAGGATTTAGGGAGTGAGGTGGACATAGGAGACTGTAATGTGAAACCTTTTTGTTTTGTGTGTGACAAGAACAGGCTAGGCCTGCTCTGGGTTAAGACTGTGCCTAACGTTGACATCTTCCATTTTAGAAAGGAAGTTTGTTTGTTTGTTTTGACAGTACTGGGGTTTGAACTTGGCCTCATGATTACAGATGCTCTACCACTTGAGCCACTCTGCCAGCCCTGTTTTGTGTTGGACTTTTTTGAGATAGAGTCTTGCAAACTATTTGACTGGGCTGGCTTCAAACCAAGATCCTTCTGATCTCTGCCTCCTGAGTAGCTAGGATTACAGATGTGAATCACTGGGGCCCTATACAGCAAATTTTGATCTAAGTAACTCCATTTTTGGGGCCTGGGGTTTGAACTCAGGACCACTCTACCTGCCCTGTTTTTGTGAAGGGTTTTTTGAGATAGGGTCGCTGAACTATTTTCCTGGGCTGGCTTTGATCCACGATCCTCCTGATCTCTGCCTCTTGAGTAGTTAGGATTATAGACGTGAGCCACCAGCACCTGGCTTGGATTAAGAATTCTTAATGGGTGGCTCATACCTGTAATCCTAGCTATATGGGAGGTTGAGATTGGGAAGATGTTTGAGGCTAGCCTGGGCAAATAGTTCCACAGACACTCATCTCCAGAATAACCAGAGCAAAAATGGACTTGGAGATATGGCCCAAGCGGTGTAGTGTCTGCTTTGCAACCACAAAGCCCTGAGTTTAAACACCAGTCCTACCACAAAAATTTTTTTTTTCTTAGTCTGCCTTAGAGACAGTGGAGAAGAGAGCAAGAAGGCATCTGGGACTCAGAGGAGAGCCCTGAATGTGAGATTGAAATCTTGAAATTTTTGGCATTGTTTCTTTAAGATTGAATGAGAATTTGGAAATCCATCTTTGTGATTTATTATTTTTCACATCTTCAGCACAAAAAAATAGAAACCTGAACTTTCCAGTTTCATAGCTGCAAAGTATGACTTCAAGGGAGGGAAGGAAGCAGTGTGGGGACCCCAGTGATAGGAGCTGTTAGCATAAGCTGAAATGGTTTTAATTAGGAGTTAGATTGAGACACCTTATTTAACACAGGTTCCTAAGCAACAGTATGGCTTCCTTCTGCTCTAGAGCTCCTGTTTCTAGTCTCAGGCTGCAGCCAAGGTGCCCTTTTTGGTGGGGACTTGTCCCTCTATATATGGAACTCATTCCCTCCTCTCTTTAGAGCCTCCACTCTGTGAATCACTGACCCTCCTTCTGGGATCTTTTTTACTCTGTGTGTGTGTGTGTGTGTGTTGTTGAGGTTTGAACTCAGGGCCTACACCTTAAGCCACTCCACCAGCCATTTTTTGTGATGGCTTTTTTTTGAGATAGGGTCTCGTGAGCTATTTGTCAGGGCTGGATTCAAACCTCAATCCTCCTGATCTCTGCCTCCTGAGTAGGTAGGATTATAGGCAAAGCAACCAGCTCCCAGTCCGGTCTCTGCCCTTTTCTGTCTACTTTTCACCTTAAGTGATGTCTTTTGTTGTTAGTGCAGTAAATACCAATTTCACACCTTTAGCCCATATTGTCATTTGACCTGAAGACTCATGCATCCATTTGTCCAGATGATACTGTCACATTGCATCATAAATCCTCAAGCTGAACATTTTATTCCCCTACCCCAAACATATTTTCTTTCTTTTTTCTTTTTCATTTTAGTACATAGTAGTACAACCACTTGGGAAACTTCCTCTTGATTTCTCCCTCTTCATCCCTCACTTTCCATCAATCAGTGAATCCTATTACTCTCCCCAAATCAGTCTCAAAATATTTCTACTTATTACTATCCAGGCTACCATCATCCTGACTTTGGTTCTTCTCTTATCCTATCCTGTTAATCCATTTTCTTTCTCCCTCTTTCTCTCCAGTGCTACGATTGAACCCAAGGCCTAAAGCATACTTATCAAGCATTCAACCACTAAGTACATCCCCAGACCTTACCAGTCTTTTTAAAAACAAACTGGAAAGACTAAATATCTTACACCAGTGATTTGCAGGCCGGGTTCTCTTGCCTTTCCTCAATTACTTTATAAGACCGCTGGGAGGGGGAGCAGGGTGATCCAAGTTGAAGTTAGTTAGGAAAGGGCCAGGGTTATTTACAAATAATTCACTTTGAGTTTTTTCCGGGAAATTTGAAATTTGGCCTCTTGAACTCAATGCCAATTTACAAATAATGAGAACAAGGTCATTGGAGGAAGTAAGGACTTCCGTTGCCATTGAGTACTGCGTGCTGCTCTATTAAAATCAAAACAAATTAAGGGGCGGGGGGCAGGGCACTGCGGGGAGAGTGCGGGTTTTTAAATGAAGACCTGGGTGTACAGGTCTGCTTCATCCTCCGTGAGTGCTAGCGTTAGTCTGCAGAATTGCGTCCTGTGTCCATTGCTGTGGATGCTCCCTCATTCGCTGATACGCTGCACAGAGGAGCGCGACGACCTTGCCTACAGCTGTAAAGACATTCTTGAGTTCCCTCATGACGGCATGAGGGTAGGGAGGTAAGACAAACGAGAAAAAGGGTCTAAAAGCAGGTTGTCCAGTGAGTTCTTGTGCTAAAGTTACTGTTGTGAGCATATTTAGATGTCTGTTCCCGTTACATGCCCACTGCGACCCCGCCACTGTGGCACAGCAGTGACCACTGGGATCCTCCAGTTCCTGTCCCCAGGGAGGTGCCATTCCAACACGATTCAAACAAAAGGAGACAAGCTGGGGGTGGGGCTCAGCGCAGAGCGCCCGCCTAGCAAGTGCAGGGCCCCTGGGTTCCGTCCCCAGGATCGGGGAGGAAAACAAACAAGCGAAACCCACAAAAGCAAAAAGGAGACGACGATTTTCGGCGCCGACAGGTGGCTAAGTGATTGGCGCCGGGGTTGGGGTGGAGTGGGGTGGGGTCCCTGTGCCTATAGACCGCCTCAAGTCGCCTCCAGTGCCAAATGGACCGCCAACAGAAGCCGCCCCCTCGGCCATCACGCAGTGAACCTTGGGAGGGGGAGAGGGCAGCCGATAGGCGAGGCGGTCGCTTCGCTGGCCCCGCCTCCATCCCGCGCCAACTCCCGGGCGGGGCGGGGCACGAGGCTGAGCGTGCGCGCGCCCGTCCTGAGCACCAACCGCCAGCCGCCCCGCCGGCCCGCGGCCCGCCCCCGGCGCGCGCACGCCCGCCCGCCAGCCTTGGAGCCCTTTGGGCTGCGAGCTGCAGCGCCCTCTGCCGGGCGAGCCTGGCGGGAGCGGGCAGGAGGCGGCGCGGGCTCGCTGGGACTGCTAGACGGCGGTGTACAGCCTGGCCAGGGTCAGTGGAGGCACAGGGCGGGCATGGAGACACCAGAGGACCACCGAGCTGGGGCGGGGGGGGGCTGGCGAAGTTGGGACTCCTGTCCTGGGTTTGCGCCCCGGCTGAGGCAGAGGGACGGCGAGACCCTCCTTTGTCCTGGTCACGCTGAGGGGAGGGGGCTGCGCTCGGCCAGAACAATTAAATCCGCGCCGTCCCTAAGCGAACCCTCGAAGTGGCGGTGTCTGGGTTGCAACCCCAGCGGGCGAATACTAGAGAGGCAGTGGGAGGTGGCTGGGCTGACAGGATAACTGCCATTATTGAGCACCTGGCTGCCCAGGTACGGTTACCACACTTGGCCAAGTGGCAACCAAGGCATCCAGGGGATAGGTGTCTGTCCTAGGAGTGTGTAATAATGAGGAGGCAGAGCTGGGATACGAACCAGGGACTTTTCGTTCAGTGTCCACTGCGCTAGGCGGAGGGGAACATGTGTACTTGAACCAGGTTTGGAAATTGATCAGAGTTTGATAGGTGGGGATAACAGCGTGCCCTTGGCACAAATTAGCTGTTAAGACTTTGCAAAGACGGTTGATCCAAGAGGCCACACTTTTCCTCTTTCACAAAAATGGCCGGACTGAGGAAAACGAATAAACCACGTCTAAGCACTGCTTTGCAAGTTTGTAAAGCACTTTGAGGTACCGTGTCGTAGGTGATTCCTCACAATTAACTCACCAAGTGAGCCTTTCTATTTA